AATCTTTTGAAACAGGGTTTCACTTTATAGTTTAGGCTGGCCCTGAACTCTCTATGTAGTACAGGTTAGTCTCAAACCTGTGATGATTCTCTTCCCTCAGGCTCTGGAGTGCTGGAATTATAGGCATGCGCCACCACACTCAACTCTCAGATGTCTTTCAGCAAAGGTTTTTTTTTGGTACTAGGAATCAAACTCATGACCTTATGCTCACCAGGCAGGTGTGCCACTGAACTATATTCCTGGTCCTCAGCAAAGGTTCTTTACATAATGATTACTTTTTATTTCAAAGACAGGAGGAGCTGATACACAGAAATAGTAGAATCAAAAAGTAAAATGAAGAAAAAGAAAAAAATCACTTTAAAATTGAAATTGATAATGGAAGAAATTTTCATTTCCCTTCTACTTTTAACAATTTGTTTATGAAAAAATCTGATAAAAATCATCACACCTTGCTCCCCAACTTGTAATCATTCTGTCCTAGCCTCCTGGAAGCTGGTCCTACAGCCAAACAGCAAGCAAACATGAGGTGATTTTTTTTTTTTTTAAAGAAAGTTTTGTAGTACTGGGGATTAAACCCAGGCCTTGGTTCTGAGCTATAACCTCCATCTTCTTCTTAAATTTTTGTTTTTTAAACTTTGAAAGAGGACCTTGTAAAAAAAAAAAAAAAAAAGAAAGAGGACCTTGTTACCTTGCCTGGGCTGGCTTTCAATTTATGATCCTCCTGCCTCGGCCTCTCAGAGTTCAGATTATAGGTGTACACTATCACCCATGGCTCATAAACAAAGATAGCACCCACACATATCCACACTGAATGATCAGTGTAGTCCCTCCTCATTCTGGAAGACAGATGCTTCTGTGCCTTCCATTGCCAAAATCATTCCATCTAGATATCTATACTCTGAACTGGGCATGATGGTGCAGCACTCTGGGAGGCTGAGGCAGGAGAATGACAAATTTAAACTCAGCAAAGGCAACTTAAGGAGACTGTCTTAATATAAAAAGGTCTCGGAATGCAGTTCATGAGAAGGCCTCCACTGTTCAATCCCCAATACCATATATACACAAAAGATATCTACACTCCACTCTGGCACATGATTATGTCCAGTAGTTACATGCAGAATGGGTTAAGTGAGTAAATATTTTGGAATCAAGATTCTTAGCCACCCTGATATTCTAGCCACAATGGAAGCCAAATGCAGTTCTGCAAGTAGATAATGGAGTAGGGTCTCCTTTTTCTCCTCATACTTTTTTTTTTTTTTTTTTTGTACCAGGCACTGAACCCATGACCTTGCACTTGCCAGGCAGGTGCTTGTGTCACTGAGCTAAATCCTCGGCCCTTCTTTTATCTCTTTTTCCAACAAAAATTGCATAAAAGCCAGGCATGAGCTGTGACTCCAGCATTCTAGAATGCTGAGACAGGAAGATCACAAATCCTAGCCTACCCTGGCTAACTCGGACAGATCTTGTCTTCTTTTTTTTTTTTTTTTTTTGAGAAGAGTCTCACTTCTCAAGTATTTCAAATGTCCTTGAATTCACTATGTAGTACAGTCTGGCCTCAAACTTCAGGCAATTCTCTTGCCTTAGCATTCCCAGTGCTGGGATTACACATGTTCATCTCATCTGGCTACAGAGACTTTTTTGCAGGGCAAGGTGGGGGGATAGGACAACAACCCTTCCCTAAAATAAAAAAGGGCTAGGTATGTATTATACTCAATGTGAAGGCTCTGGGTTTAATTCCTAGTACAGCAGAAGAGTATATTATGTACCTTAACTACATTTTTCTACATAGAAAGTCTTTTTCTTTTTTTTGTAGTTGTTATGAAGTAGCACAACTCATAAGCACCTACTATTATTGAAAGAACACTGTATTTGGGACTGTTCTTTAAAATCAGACTGGCAGGCCAGAGGATTTAGCTCAGCAGTGTAAGCACTTCTCTGGCAAGCGAGAGGTGGTGAGTTTGATTCCTGGCACCAAAAAACCAAACCAAAACAAAACAAAATACAATCAGCCAACTACGGTTTGTTGGTTGGCCTGCCTGCCTGCCAGCCTGCCTGCCTTCCTCTTCTGGTGGGAATGGAAACTTATGCATGCTAAATAGATGCCCTAAGGCCGAGCTATCTTCCCAGATCTCATGCCATTCTTTTAAAGCATTCTACATCTGGATGTGATGCTGCATTCCTATATTTCTAGTTACTTTGGAAATTGGCAGGAGGATCACAAAGTTAAGCCAGTCAGAGTACCTTAGCACGATCCTGGTTCAAGTTAAAAAACAAAAAAGCTGGAGATATAGTTCAGTGGTATGATACCCTTGGGTTCTATCTTCAGGACTTAAAAAAAGGAGGGGGTAGGATGCAGCTCAGCAATAAAGAGTTTGCCTTGCAAATACCATGCCCTGTGTTCAATCCCAGCATCATAAGCAAAACACATCTCTTTCCTTCCAATTACCGCACTTGTATCTTTTACAAGAACACAGACCTCAGGGTTAAAATGAACTATCATTCAAATTACTGATGTCACCTACAAAGTACCAGTCCTTTGTTTGTTGAGACAGTCTCCTTACGCAGTTCCAGTTGGCCTTGAACTCACTATGTAGCCCAGAATGGCCTCAAATTTATGACAATTCTCCTGCCTAAGCCTCCTAAGTGCTGGGATTACAGGAGTGTACCACCATACCCAGCTGGTTCATGCTTCTAAGGAAAAGTCTGTTGCAGCAAATGTAACCCATTCCCACAAAATAGAAGGGCAAGATCTCAACACAAACACTGCCATGACTTATGCTACTGTTAATGAATGTTTAGCTGTCTTACCTATCTAGACCTGCTAATGCATTAAATGCTTTCCCATTCTTGTCTTGCATAAAATCAGATTCATCCTTCATAATAATCAGTTTTTAAAATTTAAGACTCATTAAAATTAAAGATTTTCTAATCTTCTAATTCTGAATTATGTTTTCACTAGCAAATATTCTACATATTGTTCCTTTTCTTTTCATAGGATAATTAAAATATATTGTTTTTTTCTATTAGATAATTTAAAAACGTTTTAAAGCAATGATTTTCTTTTCTTTCTTTCTTTTTTGGTACTGGGGATTGAACTCATGATGATGCACTTGCAAAGCAGGCACTTACGCTCCTGAACTAAATCCCCAGCCCTAAAGCAATGATTTTCAAAATACAGTTTGAACTCTGGATAAACAACAAAGAACCCAGATATAAAAAATAAAAAAGGGGATGGGGTTACAGCTCAGTGTTCCAAAATCAACATTTTGGAAAGCCAGGCATGGACCTATCTGGGTTTGTTTACAATCCGACATACCTGGAAGGTGTGGCAGTGTGTCAAGGCCAGATAGGCAACACAGCGAGATCTCATTTCAAAAAGAACAGAAAACATTTTGGAGACTGCTGTGGCTCTTAAATAGTATATTTGACTATTAATAATATATTATTATTATTAAAATATTAAATAATATATTATTGCTTTCACTATTAATAGTTATTAAACTGATATTCAATTTTTCAGAATCATGAAAATGTTGTGATTATGTAGGAAAGACAGACATGCCAAATATCACAAATGTCTGGATATCTGCATTGAAAACAAAGGTCAAATTGGGGAAGGTGTTGTTCACCTGCAATTCTGGCTACTTGGGAAGCTATGAATTCTATGGATTTAGCTCAGCAGCATAAGCACCTGCCTGGTAAATGCTAGGTTGTGAGTTTGATTCCTGGTTAAAAAATAAAACACAATAAAAGGGCTAGAAGGGCTAAAGATATAGATTAGCAGTACAATACCTGCCTGGCATGTGCAAAGTCCTGAGTTTAATCCTCAGTACTGGAAATAAAGTAAGTAAGACAGCTAAGAATATAGGTCAGAGGTAGAGTTGACTAACACATCCAAGGTTCTAGGTTAAACTCCCAGTACCACAAAAACAACAAACAAAGCCAAAAAAACAAATGTAGAGCCAGGCATGGTGGCTCAATGCTTGTAATCCCAGCACTTGGGAGGCTGAGGCAGTGGACTGTTTCAAGTTTAGATCAGCCTGAGCTACAATGTGAGCTCAAGGACAGCATGAACTACATAGCAAGACCCTGTCTCAAAAAGACACCCCCCCACACACAAAAAAAACCCAAATGTGGCAAAATGCTAACAATTAGGCAGACAGGGCCAAGAATATAGCTCAGTAGCACAAACTCCTGTCTGGCAAGCATGAGGTCATGAGTTAGATCCCCAGTACCCACCCTCCCCCTGCACAAAAAAAAAAAAAAAAAAAATTAGTCAGACGTAATAGTACAAACCTGTAATCTCAGCACTTGGGAAGCTAAGACAAGAGAATCTCAAAATCAAGGCCAGCCTAGGATACATACAGAGAGCCCATCTCAATCTCCCCTTTCCCACCAAAGTTAATAACTGGTGAACCTAATGAAGTACGATATGCAGGAACATTAATTATACTATTTTATTAATTTATTTATAAAATTAAAATTTTAAAACAAAAACAGCCAGGCATGATGAACCATGCCTGTAATTCTAGCACTCAGGAGGCAGGAAGACTGTTACAAGTTCGAGGCCAGTTTGAATTATACAGCAAGACCCTGTCTCAAAACAAACAAATAAGTAAATAAATAGGGAAAAATACTGTTAAATTTTTTTTTTAATCGGTACCGGTGTTCGAACTCACGACCACGTGCTTGCAAGGCAGGCGCTTATGCCACTGAGCTAAATCCCCAACCGCTAAAATGAATTTTTAAAAAATAAAATTAAATTAAAAAGTGAATTTGTTAGCTTTATCAAAAACTTAGGAGTTTTATAGGCCTTAAATTCTTTCTAAGTAATAATAGCATGAAAATGGACTTTTTCACTGAAAAGCAAACAACAGAGGCACTTCTTATTCATAGAAGCATTCTGAATAGTCATGCAATAGGAGTTTGACAAAGCTTAAAAACAGAAAATACATTTAGATCAAGAGGATTGTTTCTCCCCAGTTAACTATAAGACTTACCTATCTATGTCATCGTCTCCAGGTAACAAGGGTGGGAGAGGCAGAGGAGGCAATGTTGAAGTTTTCAGATGTGGAATAGCAGCTGTTACAGAAACTTGAGTCTTCACAGAAATGTGTACAGAGGGCTGAGAACTTGCCTGAGAGGACAGAGTAGATGTCCTTGGGTGAGTAGAGGGGGGCAAAGTTGACGTACTGGGAGCAGGAACCTGACTACAGGTTGGTTGAGGAGGAGGCAGAGGTGGTTGCTGTGGAACAGCTGGTAGTGGAGGCAAAGGTGGTAATGGAGGTGTCTGAGGGGGAGGGGTAGTAGTTGGTAAAGGAGGTGGAGAAGTAATTGTGGGGAGAGGTGGAGGGGTCTTCTTTTCTGGTATCTCTGGCTCCTTTGGAGTAGCAATTTCCTCTTTCAGTGTTACAGGTTTAGAGTCTTTTGTTCCCTGTACTTTCAAATCTTTCATAATAGGATGCTTCTCAGAGTTCTCATCCAACTTTACTTTCCCTGTATCTAAAGAATTTTTGACCTCTGTGTTTGAATGGGTTACATTCAGCAGTTCAGTGTCTGGGGCACATTTTTCCAACTTTATACTTTTGGGTAACTTTTTAGACTCCAAGCCTGAATCCTTAGCCTCCACTGAACTATTCTCTTTTTTAGGCAAAAATATAGGTGAACCCTTGGACTCCTTTCCATCCATTTTTGCTGCTGCAGCAGCAGCAGCTCTTTCCTTCTTTTTTCTACTAAGTTCAGCTCCCAGGCTGGAATTCAACGGAAGCCTGACAGGTGAAATACTGGAATGACGACTGCGTGACCCAGATCTCTTCTTTTTACTATGGGAAGATGAATGTCTTGAATATGCAGGACTTCTACTTCTGGACTTCATGGATTTCCTACTGGAAGAACAGAAAGTTTAAAATGGATAGACTACAACAACACATAGAGGAAAATACATCAGCAAACAACTTAAAGAATAGTGTAATTTCAAAATCATTTTGAGTAATTTATCAATCTAAAAATAGATTAGCTGGGCATGCTGGAGCATGCCTGAAACCCCATCTGGCAACCTGGGAGCCTGCAGGAGGAGGATCCACAAGTTTGAGCCCTGCCTGGGCAACTTAGTGACCTAAGGAGATCCTGTCTCAAAAAATAAAGCCAAGAGTAGAAGTCTGCACCTGCAATTTCAGCACAAAGGCATGATTAAGCCTATGATTTAAGGCCAGTCTGGGCTACCTGTGAGTTTAAGACCATTCATAACTACATAGTAAGAGCCCATCTGAGAAAAATAAAATAAAAACTAAAATAAAAGGTGTCTGAAAGATATCTCAGCATGAAGGCCCAGGGTTCAATCTCCAGTAGCAAAACTAAACAAAACAACCAAAGAGGGCCTAAAGAGGGCTGGCTAAATATAATGAACAGGATTCTTGAACAAAAAATAGATATTAAGGTGAAGACTAATCTGAATAAATTATTAGACTTCATTTAATGTATCAGGTCATTATTTCTGACAAATAGCTGGTCCTACATGCCTACAATCCCAGGTACTCAGGAGGATAAGGCAGGAGGATTACAAAAAGGCCAATCTGGACAACTTAGCAAGACAAGTCTCAAAATAAAAGCTAAAAACTAAATGAATTGGAGATATAACTGTCACAGAGTGCTGGTTTAGCATCCTTGTAAATCTTCAAGAGAGACTATGAGTGTGCGTGCCTCTGTGTGTGTGTGTCTGTTAATCAATGTACCAAACTAACACAACGTGTTTACCATACAGAAAAGTAGGGGCAAGGATATATCAGGATATTCTCAGCACTATTTTTGTAACTTTTCTGTAAATCTAAAACTATCCTAAAAATTAAAAGTTCAGTAAATGCAGATTAGAAAAAACTAAATCTTGCATGAAAACACATCTAAATCATGTAACGCTAAAAATTACCTACTCTTATTTAATTAAAAGATGATTAATCAATACTTTCCCATATTGAAAAAGAAATAGCCACATTCACAATTTTTAAAAGATGGCAAAAAAAAAAAAAAGACAACACTGTACAGTAAAAGTGGGTTCTCTATCATGAAGTTAAAGGTAACTAGAATGCCTTACCAAACCCTAACTTTTTAAACTAGTGAACTACTAAAATGGCAGAGCCTAGGAAAATGTCCCTTGTAGTCTTAGCTTATAAAATAATTGTGCCATGGCAGACAAATCCACAATATATAAAAGTTAGTATGTACAGCCGGGCATGGTGGCTCATGCCTGTAATCCCAGCACCCAGGAGGCTGAGGCAGGAGGATCGTTGCAAGTTCGAGACCAACCTAGGCTACCAAGTGAGCTTGAGGCCAGCTTGAGAGAGACCCTGTCTCAAAAAGACCAAAAAAAGGGGGCTGGGGATTTAGCTCAGCGGCATAAGCACCTGCCTTGCAAGCAGGCAGTCGTGAGTTTGATCCCCGGTACCGATAAAAACAAAAAAGACAAAAAAAAAAAGTTAATATGTACAAGAATGTAAAAAGGAAAATTTTTGGCAAAATAATTTATTAGAGCCAGGCAGGGTGGCACACACCTGTAACTTCAACACTTGGGAGGCTAAGGCAGGAGGATGAATATGAATTCAAGGCCAGCCTGGGCTATGTAATGAGCTCAAAGCTAGGCTGAACTGCACAGTAAGACCTTGTCTCAAAATAAATAAAAATTTTAAAAACAATAAGTTTTCAAACTATCACAGCTTCTTACCCTTTAAATGTAAAATGACTCTCAGTCAACTTCTTAGGTGCTCATAAGGCAAGGTATTATGGTAGATTCTATTAATTTTCTTCATAAGGAGTAGGAAATAAAATCTGGAAATCTACGGGGCTGATTTTTCTAACTTGAAACCCCATCACTTTCATTCCTTTTACATTTTATGAAAGCTTAACCTGCTTAAGCCGCAAGTGAGGCAAAACCAAACAACAATCCCTAAAATGTGACTGGAAAAAAAAAAAAAGACTACACAAAACATAATTTGCCCATTACTGTGAAATAAACTGTCTCCATTGCAGTTTATCATTACCTTCCTTTACCTTTGATCATTGGTAAAACTGACATGAGCAAAATATTTCAAAACAAACATCGTAAGAGCCAGGTCTGGTGGCACGTGTTTATAATCCCAGTACTTGGGAGGCTGAGGCAGGAAATCTCAAGGAGTTTGAAGCCAGCCTAAATAGTCAAGGACAGCCTAAACTACACACCAAGACGCTGTCTCAAAAACAACCACTCATCCAAACAACCCCCTCACCACATGTATGTATAAGAGAAACAATTCATGTGGTAATCATAGTTTTTTTCACCTATATTGTTTTTAGGAAGTTTACTCTAAAAATTACGCATAAAGGGGGCTGGGGATTTAGCTCAGCGGCATAAGCGCCTGCCTTGCAAGCAGGCAGTTGTGAGTTCGATCCCCGGTACCATCCCCGGTACCGATAAAAAGGGAAAAGACAAAAAAAAAAAAAAAATTATGCATAAAATTACTGGAATTAACAGTATTGAAAAACAGCATATACATGAACATGATGATATAAGACACTGAAAGTAGTTAACAGATCTACCAAGTATCTACTCACTCTTAAGAAAACTAATACATTTCTTTTATATGTGACTAAAATTATTCCCCGCATAAATTACAGCAGAAATGAAACATCTCTGTTCCTGAATAAGTGTCTAAAATCCTAAGCATTAAGTAACGCTAGCTACCATGCATTATCAACTTCATCTTTCAGCGTGATCCATTCTTCCTAAGGAACTCTTCTGCAAACTTCATGTTTAAACAGAAACTTATTGTAAATAGAACACCTCAGTGGTCATTCACTTGCAGTATTTTTAGAGATACAAACGCTATAGTTGACTTCCAGTCCACTCCAAAAACAGGGAAAGGAAACAAGAAATACGTAAATACAGGCAGCAATAAGTAATGTGTCTACTAAAACACAGGCACTTTCCCCTCTGAATTGTAAGGTACTGCACATTTGGAATGAAAATGCTATCATAAATCACTGATAATTTGGGATATAGAGACATTGCATTTCTGTTATTTTCAGGTTTTTTTTCTTTTTCTTTTCTTTTTAAACTTTTTTTGAGACAAGGTCTTGTTTTATAAATATTTCAGGCTGGCCTCCAATTTGTGGTGATCTTCCTGCCTCAGCCTCCCGAATGCTGGGATTACAGGGGTGGGCCACTGTAGCCAGCTCCTGTCTTTTAAAATGATAGTGCTTGTTTCATTATCCTCCAAGGAAAAGCACAAATACCATAGATGGGATCTTTATGCTCCTGTGCCCTAACTACAAAATGGTTGTACTTACTGTCAAGAATTCCAATGAATGAGAAAAATATGTAATGTAAATATACAATTACATACTACTCTATACAAGCAAATAAAGAATATTCACATATCTCTGGGAAGAATATTATGTAACATTTACATCTGTATCTTTTACCACCACATCGTCTCTCCAATTCTTCCTAGATTTGTTTTTTGTGGGATTTTTTTTTTTTTTTTTTGGAGACAGGCTCTTACTATATAGTTCAGGTTGGCCTTAAACTTGCTTATGTATACCAGGTTGGTCTCCAACACAGTGACCCTCCTGCCTCAGCCTCCAGAGTCGTGGGGATCAAAAGTATGTGCCACCACATTCAGTTCTTTCTAGATTTATTTTCGCTATTATCACACTCATTTCAATTAGATAGTAGTTCCTCAGCCCACATAAGAGAACACACTCATTTCAATTAGATAGTAGTTCCTCAGCCCACATAAGAGAACTTAAGGTATGCTGTTTTCTCTAGAAATCAAAGGAATGCCGAAAAAGTTTTTAACTGATACTTGCTCTAGTGGTTTAGCCTTCTCTATTCTGCCTTGTCTTTGAAAGTCTTTGAAATGCCTTAATGGAAATACTCTCTTAAAATATTCTGAGACTATTTCTTAGGTTTCCTTTAGAAACGATGCAATTTTGCTGGGTGTGGTGACACATGCCTGTGATCCCCCACACACTGGAGGCTGAGGCAAGAGAGGATCACCATGAGTTTGAGGCCAGCTTGAATTACCCTGTCTAAAAAATAAAAATAAATAAAAGACAAACACCATACAATTTTGCTGGATGTGGTTGTGCACACCTGTAATCACAGCAGTTAGGAGGCTAAAGCAGGAGGATCACAGGTTTGAGACCAATCTGGGCTACATGGTGACAGTCCAGGCCAGCCTAAACTACACAGTGAGACCTTGTCTCAAGGAAAAAAAAAACTATTCAATTTTACTAAAGGTACACTTCTGTATTTCACTGTACATAATTTTTCCCTCCAGCCCTCTAAAAATATTGAAACATTAGGGAATACTATACATGCTAAAATATTTAAAGTATACTACTAAACTGGAACTTAATTTGAGATAAAGAGATGATTTGATAGAGAGAGCAACAGATATGTGATAAAATACATGGCAAATATTAACTGTAGAATCTAGGTGTTAGATACATAGCTGTTCATTTAATTCTTTCAACCTCTATTTCAGAAATTTTATGGTAAAGTGGGAAGAAAATACTAAGAAACTTCAGCCCTTTACGGGAGTCTTGCAGTTCAATAAATCAAAGGTAGTTTTTTTTTTTTTTTTGTCTTTTTCATTTTTATCGGTACCAGGGATTGAACTCACGACTGCCTGCTTGCAAGGCAGGCACTTATGCCGCTGAGCTAAATCCCCAGCCCCCAAAGGTAGTTTTTGAAGAACTATGTTAGCAAAAAGTATTTTGACATACAAAATATTTGGATAAATTTCAAGTTAACATTATTTCACTTTTTGGAAGTTTCAAAGTATTCCACAATATTCTTATAGAATTTACTGAAAAAAAAAAAAAAGGAATTTACTGAGCAGAACTATGTCCAAAGTACTATGCTATGCATTTTATATTAATTTAATCCTCCCAACAACCCTAGAAGTAGGTACACGTGAAAAAACTTGGGCATGAAGAAATTAAATCGACAGGGATTTAGCTCAGCAGCATAAGCGCCTGCCTGGCAAGTGCGAGGACCCCTAAACTCAATCCCCAGTATCACAAAAAAAAAAAAAAAAAAAGAAAAGAAAGAAATTAAATCATTTGCCAAAATCATAAAGCAACACCAGAATTTCACTTATGTCTAAAGCTCATGTTCTGCTTCTGTGGGCAAAGATGAGTCTACAAAGAAGGTACAGTTCTTTATTTCTTAAGGATACACAAAGTTTTCCACAGGTAATTCACTCTTAAGCCGAATTTTTTTTTTTGTACTGAAGCTTGAACTCAAGCCCTCATGCTTCCCAGGCAGTGGCTTATGCCACTGAACTAAATCCCTGGCCCTTTACGCTGAAATTTCAAACGTAACTTTCTTGCAAAAATTTCATGGTGAGGTGGGCACAGTGGTGCACACCGGAATTCCCAGCACTCAGGAGGCTGAGGCAGGAGAATCACAGTGAGCTGGAGGCCAGTCTAGGCTACATAGTTCAAGGCCAGTCTGAACTACATAGCAAGACTGAACTACATAGCAAGACCCTGTCTCAAAAACAAACAAACAAACCCCTTACGGTGAAGGATTACAGTATTTGTAGAGAAAAATTCTGAAACTTGCCAGTGCTCTCGTAGGTATGTCAATCAGGATTCTGTAGAGAGAAACAAACTATCCTTGAAATCAATTTCTTCTATACTGTCAAAGATGGACTGATCAGCTAGGCCTCCAGCACAATGTTTGTTAAAAGATTAGACCTTTTTAAAGATTTTAAGTGTCAATTAGCAACCTGGCATGGTGGCACACGCCTGAATTCCAGCACTCGGGAGGCTGAGGCAGGAGGATCATTGAGAGTTCAGGACAAGCCTGGGCTGTAAAATGAGCTTGAGGCCAGCCTGAACTGCATAGTAAGGCCCTGTCTCAAAAAGACAAAAAAAAAAAGAAAAGAAAGAAAGAAAGAAAGAAAAAGTGTCAATTAGCAATGAATAAACTTAGAGCTTTGGGCACTCAGCAGACAGTATAAATCAGGGACGACCTGCAACGGTCCTCAAGATGATACCACAAATGAAAATTAGGAATTTCTCAAGTCTCCAATTTGATGCAATAAAACTAAGCACTAATAACAAGATGATTTGTAAAAATTTAAAGCAAAAAAATAGAAATAGCTGGAGAAGCTGTGGGAACTAGAGTAGCAGCACGCACTAACTAGGCAGAGGCACGTTTTTTTCTCACACCGAAGCTCCCATTTCTGAAAGTACAGTTACCTACCTTTAGCAGCTGGAGGCAAGTGAAATCTTTACTTCTCAAATTCTGGGTTTAGGAAAGACCAGATTCACCTGCTTGAATGACTACGCAGCAGCAAAGCGTCCTAGTCAATGATGAACACTGGAGACTTAAACAAAATGTTATCGCAGCTGCCAGCCCGCACAACCCACCCCGCAAGGTGGCTTACCTGGGAAGTGGACTCCGGCTCAGGGACCGCTTGCTCAGGAAAGGGCTGCTGGATCGCCTCCGCCCGTAGGGACTGGGGGACCTCCCGCTGTATGAGCCGCTCCTTTCATAGCTGGACGACCGCCTGCGACCGTAGGGACTCACGGACCTCTGTCGTCTACTGTAGGGACTTGGCGAGCGGTTGCTGGACTGGTAGGCAGAGGGCTCTTTGTACGGGGGGCTGATCGACTGCCTTCTCGAAGTGCTTCCAGGACTCTTCTTGTAGGAGTCATAATTGCTAGAGGTGTGCGATCTGGGGGGACTAAGATCATAATCTTGGCTGTAAGAGGCGCCTGAGGGGCTGTCATCTTGCTTGGAGCTGTCAGACCATTTCCGGTGGGGACTCCGGGATCTCCGCTTGGGGCTGTCCACGGTTTTGTAACTTTTGGGTGTTTCCCTTTTCCGATGACTCTTACTCCGGTCCTTGTGCCCGGACTTCAGCTCTCGTTCTTTCCGGGTCTTCTCCTTGTGCAGCTTAGACGACCGCGATTCCTTGCCGCTGCTTTTAGACAGGGGTGCCTTCCCATAGTCGTCCTCTTCATTTGAGCGCTTGGAATTTCCCGACGTCCGGTCCTTCACCGAGCCCGACTTGCCGGACACTTCCTGGTTCTTTTCTTTTTCGGCCTGTTTGGTTTTGAGCAAGTCCCGGGAACGTCGGTGCTGGTGGTGACGGTGTCTGTGCAGGCGGTCGCTCCGATCCGTTCCACGCCGCTCATCATTCTCCCTCCTGTCCAGTTTGAAGCCCATGTCGTCAGAGAAGGTGTCGGAATCGGAGCTGATGTCATCGTACTCCACCAAAGGTTTGATAACTGTGCCCAAGGATGCCGTCTCCGGGGTCACCAAGCCCATGTCTTTGGAGTGCTTGGACTTGTGCCGCTTGTGCTTCGACACCAGGCGGTGACGCTCTCTGCTGTTGGAGCCGCCACCTCCCGATGACGGCTGCGAAGTTCCAGAGGCTCCTCCACTCCCGTCCTTCTTGCCCCCATGTCTCTCGGAATTGGGCATTCCCTTCGCCACGGCCCGAAGACGGGGAAAAGTTCCCCGGCGCCGCACGAAGCCGCCCCTCCCGCCCCCGGCCCAACTCCACGCCCCCCGAGCGCCCCTCGTCGGGGCTGGGAGGGAAGGGACGCGCGGCCGGGCTCCTCCCCCTCCCGCCGCCTCGGCGCCCTCCTACATGAGGTGGGGAGAGACGGGCGAAGGAGACCAGAGTTCCTCACGGCGGAGTTGTGAGACCGCGTCCTTCCCCGCGCCCTGCTGAGCCGCTCTCCTCTGGCCCGGCTGCCGGGAACTCGAGGAAGTAGAAACGCAGCGGCCCTGGGCTGCGGGGCCGACTCTGGCTCTGGGGCCCTATGGGCACTGCGAGGGCCCTTCCCCTTCCCGGTGGCCCGGTTCAGCTTCCTGTCGCCGGGGTCCCGCGGCCTAGGCGATTCACGCCCCCTTTATTCCTCGCTCCCGAGGAAGCCCCTTTTCCTAGCCTCGGCCTCACCTCAGTACCACCCCTCACACACACTCACTCCCTCACACACTCAGTCACACACTAGATTAAACCGAAACGGCACTTGGAGGAGGGGGGAGGGGCAAGCGCAGAAAACATCGCGAGAGTCTCACAGGACCTCGCGATATTTTGAGCTCCCCTTTCGCCTCGCTCTACTATTGGATCAAACAACGCGAGAACCGGAGAGGCACAAGAAACGCCCACAGCCAAACTCTCGCGATAAGCTTCTTGCTCCCCTGTTGAGAGGTTTGTTGAGACGGAGCTGACCAAAATTTGGGGAAAAAATAAAAGTTTCTTAAACCTAAACCTCATTGAACTGATTGAACAAACACTCCTAGCTCTCATACTCATGTAAGAAGGCTTTTAACTAGTAGGATAAGGATATTTTTAAAGGGGCAAAGCGTGAAAATAGGGACATTGCAACCTGAAGTCCTTCAATGCCTAAACAATGCTCCCCATTTTTTGGGTGTAGACTCTGCGCCAGGCATTTATTGCATACATTATCGGTAATCCTCATAACTACCCAACAGGACAACACAGCCTCAGGCCAATTTTACTGATAAAGTCCAGAAGCAGAGAAGATGAACAAATTAGGGTAATTGAGCTATAATCCTGCTAGTACCTCAGCTGAGTCAAAGTCACGTCAGATATATAGGCAGGAGTTCTTCCGCCGTGAGTCCCTATCTCTCTCCACTCTTCGGAGAACCTGAGAGTGCTCTTTCCCTTTGAGATGGCCCCATGGCTCTTAGCGGTAATTTAGCGTTTTATTTTCACGCAAAGGATTACAATTATGAACAAGAATAGCATTTTACACTAGTCTCTCATTGTTTGTTTTTCCAGACAGGGTCTCTGCTATGTAGTGCGTGCTGGCTTTGAAAGCTCTTCCCACCTAAGCCTCTCTGAGTGCTGGAATTAAAGGCGGGCACCACCACCTTCAAACAAATTTATCCGTTCCACCGCATGGAGGTCTGCAATCCCAACACTCTGAAGGCTAAAACAGGAGATCACAGGTTCTACAAACACCTGGGATGTAGTGGGTTTAGGTCAGCCTAGACTGCCTAATGAGAAAACAAAGAACCAAATTAACCCATTCAATCTTCACAGCTCTTTGGAATAGGATTCTGTGAATAAGAAAGCAAAGGCACAGAAAAAAACAACTTGCCCAAGCTTAATATTTATTATTTTTTAAAATTTATTTTTGCAGTACTGGGGAATTGAACCCACAGGCACTCTATCATTTAATTACATCCCCAGCTACATTTATATTTTTATAAACATAAAGGATAAAGTAGGCCTTGAATTTGTAATCCTTTTGTTTCAATCTCCGTGCTAGTATTAAAGGTGTGTGACACCATGACCACTTCAAGCTTCTTTCCAATATATTTATTTATGAGAGGGCCAGATATGGTGCTGCACACCTATACTCTTAGTACTCAAGGAGGCTGAGACAGGAGGATCATCACAAATTTTAGGCCATCCTGAGCTACAGGTAGTATGCTCAAATCCAGCCTGAACTACATAGAGAGACTCTGTCTCAAAAAAAAATTTTTTTTTTTTTTGCCGGTACCAGGGATTGAACTCAGGACCTCGCATTTGCCAGGCAGGCGCTTATGCCGCTGAGCTAAATCCCCAGTCCCCCCCACCAAATTTTTTTATGTGAGGGATCTATTAGGAATGTAGCTCACTGGTAAAGCATTAGTGCTGGGATCTGAGTTAGATCCCTAGCAATGGCAGAGGGGTGAGACTTTTAGGCTTTTCTCTGTAGTATAATAGTATCCATTTAAGTAGGCCTTCAAGTTGGATATCAACAATACATTCATACCATAAGATGTAAGATTATATATGCCATAGGAATAATATAGAAAGGTGGGGCTGGTGATGTACATTTATAACCCTAGCCCTCAGGGGAGGCTAAGGCAGAAGGATCGCAAATTTGAGCTCAGCTTGGTCAATTTAACAACTTAACAAGATCTTGTCTCAAAATTAAAAAAAATAAAGGGCTGGGAATGTACCTCAGTGCAAAGATTCTGGAATCAATTCCCAGTGGGAAGGCATAGGGAGAATAAAATCCAGGAACACTGGTAAGGGTTGTATAGGAAAAAATGAGATCAGATAGTAGAAACAAGAAAATCACCCTAATGAAAATAGAATTCCATCTCAAAACACTTCCTGAAAATGTCCTGGTTTTTGCTCATGAGTAGCAAAAATTTTACCTCAATGTTTGAATCCAAAAATCTTAGTTGTAAACTGAAAAGACGTTTCTTCTGTTTTGTGTGTGTGTGTGTGTTTTGGCTTTTTGAGGCAGGGTCTCATATGCAGTTCAGGCTTTGTAGCCTAGGTTTGTCTCCAATTTACAACAATTCTCCTACCTCAGCCACTCAAGTGCTAGGATTACAAGAATGCACCACCATAGCTAGTAAGGCTTTATTTTCATTTGGTCTAAGATTTGGAAGAAGGCTCCAAAAGGGTAAAAAAACTGTCTAGTGGCTGGAGGGAGAAGGTTAGGCCAAAGCCTGGATGCCAGGTGATGCAGGAGCCACTCAGAGGCGGCCAAGAGCTGGGGCCTTCTAGTCATGCTTACAGGGGAGCCTTTGTAAGGGTACTGACCCCATCCCGCCTGGGGGCTGCCAGGAGTAGTGAGGTGGTTACCCATCTCCTTGATGAGCTTTACCTCCTTATCTAGGAAGGGGTTCTCCAGGAAAGCACAGCCATGGGGGTCTGTCTTGGCAGAGTGCAAAATCCAGAAGAGCTTCGTTCAGGTTATTCCCTGGGGTCAGGGAAGCTTTTATGGCACCCAAGGATTTACCCTACTCATCTTCAGAAGGCTTCTGCATGTCTTGGAAGACAGTGTGGCCGCCACGCTGTTGCCCTCGAGTTTCTTCTTAGCCAACTGGCAGCAGAAATGGCCCACACCCGCCCGCAAGAGCCACATCGCCAGAGAGAGGCAGGTGTAGGAGGCCCGCAGGTGCAGCTTGGGCTCTGGGGATTAATTCTGAGGAATCTGGGAGGCCACAGCTGATCAGCAATAAGGAGCCACCAGCAAAAAAACCTCGTTTGGGGCTGGGGATTTAGCTCAGTGGCATAAGCCCCTGCCTTGCAAGAAGGCAGTCGTGAGTTCGATACCGATAAAAACGAAAGAAAAAAAACAAAAAAACAAAAAACCGCATTGGCCATGTCCTGGAAGGAAGAGATGTTCCAGAAGATGGTTCCCAAATTCGTACCTGGAAGGTGGATGGAAGGTGAAAGAGTCCACTCCCGGGTCTGTTCCATCCTACCACTGTTGAGGCAAGAGACAGATCTGTGGAACGTCCAAACACGCTGCTTAAAACACCTTTTTTTTTTTAGTTTTAGTTTTTATTATTTTGAAGGTAGTAAAATACAACAGTAAAAGACGGAACAAAGCCAATTTAGACAGTGTAGTGAAATTGGTACAGAACTTCACAGCAGGTTACCGGGATAATAGTAGTAGGCACCACAATATATCTCGTCTTTTTTTTTTTTTTTCCTTTTGAGACAGAATTTTGCTAGTTTAGGCTATCCTTGGACTCAAGGGAATCTTCTTGCCTCAGCCTCCCGAGTACTGGGATTACAGCCACTTTTCTTTGGATGCCGGGGTTTAAACTCAGGACCTTGCTCTTTCTTTTTATTTTTTTTATGTTTTTTTTTTTTTTTTTTTGTCGGTACCGGGGATCGAACTCACGACTGCCTGCTTGCAAGGCAGGTGCGTATGCCGCTGAGCTAAATCCCCAGCCCCAACCTTGCTCTTTCTGGGCCGGCACTTGAGCTGCTGAGCTAAATCTCTGGTAAAGGACCATTTCTCTTTTTAAAAAAAAAATTATTTATTTATTTTAAAGACCACTTCTCACATTTTTTTTTTTTCCCATGCTAGGGGCTGGAACCTAAAACTTTCATCAGGCTAGGTGTTACGGGTTAAGAACTGGTGGTCAACTTAACATCAGCTGGATTACATCAGCATGGCATTGAGTAAAGATGCTCCAACTGAGGAAAGTTGCCAGGATAAATAGGAGAAGAAGGGAGGTGTTGAGGGTTGAGGCGTTAAGGAGGCATTGTGGGTTTTCCTATGAGTCACTGTCTTGAGCTGTTGGTTCTCTTGGAGAAGCTTTAGTCTTCATATCGAGCATTGCTTCCTGGCTCCAGAGGAGGGGAAGACATGTGCTGCTTGGTCTCCAGAATGAACTTGTCATGTTGCTTCCTGGCACATATCGGACTGTGCTTGTTGTTGGAGGAGCTCGGGCCTCTGTGTCGCTGAGGACAGCTGTGGTGCCTTTCAGGATAGCTCTGGTTTTTGTTGTGAGTGTGACTTCTCGGCTCCAGCATAGAACCCTCATCCCACTAGCACAGCTCCTTCATCCTGCTGGCAGAGACTTTCTGGCTTCCACCGCTGACCCGTGGGTCTTTCCGGCACGGATCCATAAAAGAGACTGGTGTGAGTCCTTCTTGTGGGCTCTGGACCTCCTGTTGGACTCATGGGAGGCATTGTCCTGAGCTCTGGGTTTCTATCTGGACTCATGTGGGACATTGCCGTGGGGTTAAGGATCTTGACTAAATAATCTATGTCTTTGGTGTTGCAGATAGGTTTCCTGCATTTTCCTGTGTTAACTTTCGGTGACCATTATAAAAATATTAACTCCATGTCCTAATCCTAGTTGTTCTCTGTGTATAACCCCTGACTACAACACTAGGCAAGTACCTTATCAATTCACCTACATCCCTCGTCCTCATGACAGCTTTTTTTTTTTTTTCTCATGACAGTTTTTTAATCGATGGAAGTAAAATGCTATCAAGGGAAAATTTTTGAAAAGGTAGAATTAAGTACTGAAATTTAGGGGTAAAACTTCTTTCACTGTTTCTCATTTATGTTTTCTGTGACAGCAAATGGCATGAGACACACCTGCTCATATTAGATGGAGGGACTGACTCCCCTCCTCTTTAGGTTTGGTCTAAATTCGTCAAAATTCACGCTGATTTTTTTTTTCCTCATCTTTTATGAGATCAAGATCTTGATCAGGGCCGGGTGTGGTGGCTCACGCCTGTAATCCCAGCACTCGGGAGGCTGAGGTAGGAGGATCGTTGTGAGTTCGAGACCAGCCTGGGCTACAAAGTGAGTTCAAGGCAGCCTGAACTGCATAGCGAGACCCTGTCTCAAAAAGACAAAAAAAAAAAAAAAAAAAAAAAAAATCTTGATCAGGGTAGAAAAGGCATCCTGATGATGTATCATGTTGTAGAAGAGCTGAGGATGGAGGCAGAAGCATGTAATGTAGTCCTAGCCACTAAAGAGGCTGAAGCAGGAAGATTGCAACTTTGAAGCCAATCTGGGCAGATTAGTGAGATCATGTCTCCAAATAAAAATGAATGAATGAATATATCTGGAAGAACAAAACTGGTCATTGAGATTACCCAGCAGTAGAAACTTTAGTTATTTTATATTATCTCTGGAAGCAGACCCCTAATGAATGAATGAAAATTTTTATTATTACACAGGGTCTTGCTGTGTTGCTCAAGCTGGCCTTGAATTCCCAGGATCAAGAGAGCCTCTTGCCTTCCCAAGTAGCAGGTGTGGGCCACTATGCCCAGTTTAAAGTTTAATTAAGGCTTTTTTGGGGGGCCCGAATCTCTTTATCTTTTTTTTTTTTTTTGTCTTTTTCCTTTTTATCGGTACCTGGAATGGAACTTACAACTGCCTGCTTGCAAGGCAGGTGCTTATGCCACTGAGCTAAATCCCCAGCCCCTTTAAGTTATATCTTGAATTTCTATAATGATTTTCAAATTTCCACGTAACTCTTTTAACCTATTGATAAACATCAGTGGAACAAACTTGTGAGGTGGCCATGATGGATATTATTATTATTATTATTTTGACTTTTTGAGACTGGGTCTCTCTATGTAGCCCAGGCTGGCCTTGGGCTCACTTTGTAGCCCAGGCTGGTCTTGAATTTGGCACAATCCTCCTGCCTCAGCCTCCCAAGTGCTGGGATGACAGGCGTGTGCCACCACGCCTGGCTGGGTATTATTTTTTATGGTACTGGGGATTTAACCCAGGCCTTCACACTGAGATATATTCCCAGCCATCTGTCTTTCTATTCATCCAGATTAGGTAGCCTAGGCTGGTCTTGAACTCACAGTGATCTTCCTTGTCTCTGCTTTCTGGGTGGTGGCATGGCAGACATGTACTCAGTCTCCTTTTATTTTTATTTTGAAACAGGTCTTCCCAAACCACTAAGTTGCCCAGGTAGGCTTGAACTTGTCATCCTCCTGCCTTAGCAGCCCAACTGCTGGGACAACAGGTGTGCACCACCACACCTGGCCAGGATGAGCATTATTACATGCACCAAATAAAGGTTGAAAATGAGATAATTAGTTGGATTTTACCACATTTACACTAAGTGGAGGAATCACAGGGACAGCTATCTTCTTAATGCTAAACCAGTATATTATACTACACTACATCTCCTTTCTTTGGCAGATAAATTTTACTCTAGAAAATGTCAGGTTTTACTCAACTATATATAAACAGGGCCTCATTGTTTCCCAGGCTGGGTTTCAACTTGTGATCTTCCTACAGCAGTTTCCCAAAGAGCTGGGATTATAAGCATGAGACACCATACTCAGCTTGTCCAAATTTTTAAAATACAAAACCCACTGTAAACTTCATGTATTGCCCAATAACTGGTAGGAATACTGCTTCTGTAAACCAAGGGTTGCTTCACTTTTCAGAAAAACATTCAACTCAGTAATTCTAGAACCATTTCACTTGCAGTATTTGCATAACCTCCAGGACAACCCTGTGATGGCAGCACTTTCCCTAAAAATCCTCCAAATTAGGTCAGAAAGTTTCTATTTAGGCTGTACACAGTAAAAATGTAACTACAGTTCACAATAACTACCCCCTATCAATTTATTAGTTTTTTTGTTTATGTTTTGAGGCAGCATCTCTATGTGTAGTTCCAACTGGCCTTGAACTTACTGTATTGCCCAGGTTGGCTTCCAATTTGCTTCAGCCTCCTGGATGCTGGGGTTAGAGGTGTATACCACCATCCCTGATGAGACTTTATCTTAAAACAAGAAATAAAGGGAACAGGGATGTTTCACCTCAAAGGGCCTGGATTCAATCCCCCAATACCCATCGTCCTCCCCACACACATTTGAAATCCTTTAACAGGGCTAGGAATAGCTCAGCCATAAAGCGCTTGACTATTGTGTATGAGGCACTGAGTTGAATCCTCCACACCACAAAACAAAACAACCTATGCTTTCTGAAATAATGTAACAGAAGACCTCAAGACAGAGGTTACAGAGGTTTTGCTTCTCTTACATAGAGAAAGGAAAAATTGAAGACTGAGTAGAAGGCTTGTCTGTCAGGCATGGCATAATGACATGTCTATAAATCCACCTACTTGTGAGGCTGAAACAGGAGGAATGTAAGGTTAAGGTTAGCCTAGGCAATTTAGTAACACTGTCTCGAAAAGGGCATATGGTAGGAGAAGTGTGTGCTGGGATATAGTTTAGTAGCTTAGTGCTAGAGTACTTGCTAAGCATGTGTGAGATTGAGTTCAAGACAAAGTATCATTAAAAAAGGAAAAAAAAGTCCTGGTTGGGGAAATAGTTCAGGGTACAGTACGTGGGATGTGGAACTCTTGGCAGTCAAAAAGGACTGTTGAGTGCTGGACATGGTAGTACACACCTGTAATCCCAGCAATCAGGAGGCTGAAGCAGGAGGATCGTTGCAAGTTCAAGACCAGTCTGGGCTACAAAGTGAGCTCAAAGCCAACCTGAACTGCACAGTGAGACCCTGTCTCAAAAAAATAAAAGTCTGTTAAAGAGTCTCAGAGAAGGAACGTGGGAATTCCCTACAAATGAGAAAGGGCCAGTATGTTTGGGCATTGCCAAGAGCAGAGTTCCTTCTTGCGAGGTATTTTAGTTAGTAAAATATTTATCTACTGTGCCCAACTATGTTAGTTATTGGAGAGAGAGAAATAATACCAAGTTTCTGCCCCAAGAAAACTCACTGGTAGTGACACTAAGGAATGAGCATAAGAGGAACAAACAATCGCAACTTGCATTCTGCTTCCAGGGGGCCTGTTACAGATATTTCTGTGTCCCAAACATTTGTTCTCACTAAATCTTTGTTGATATTCCTTGTCACCAGAAATGTAGTATCTATCCAGGTGTCCACCTGGCTTTGAAGAATGTTTGAATAACATTTTTTTTTTCTTGTGACAAGGTGTTGTGTAGCACAGGCTGGCCTCAACATAACTGATCCTCCTGCCTCAGCATCCCCAGTGCTAGGATTAGAGGCATGTCACCACACCCAGTTTGAATATCATTTTTGAAAAGTGGGAAAAAAAACTCAACCAGTTTAAATTCTGCTTAAAATTCTTACAGCAAACTAGGTAAAATTCAACCTTTCAAAAATAATTATTTTTGAGGATGTGTATGTAAGAATATTAAAAAAATAAGTTAATGTGTACTAACAAAAAAAAAAATTTAAAGCGAGCCAAATGTGGTAGTGCATGCCTGTAATTCCAGTATTTTGGGAGGCAGAGGTAGGAGGATCATGAGTTCAAGGCCATCCTGGATTACACACTGACACCCTGTCTCAACCAACCAAATAAACAAATAAAAATAAAACTGATCCTAGTTACATTAAGAATTTGTATCCATTGGTAGCAATGTTGTTTTTGTCTAGTTCTTCACTAACGGTGGCCATCAACTTCTGAACATTCCGCCGAATTCCTCAGTGAGGATTTATTGACAGGCAAATACCTAGTCTTTGTGATTTGCAGGGCAGAGAACAAACGAAACTGCTTGTTTTCACAGAATTATAAAAGAGGATACAATAAAAGATGAGTAATAGAATTAATGCCATCAGGAGCAGTGATTGCCTCAAACTTACCTCACATTTTCAGATCTTCAAAAATGTAATTGCTCAAGAAGTATTTGTAATATTTAGAAAATTAGAAAGTGATAATTAAGTATCAAGTTGTCCTCGAACGTCGTGTTATGAAGCACCAGTATCTTTTTTTTTTTCTTTGTCTTTTTCCTTTTTATCGGTACCAGGGATCGAACTCACGACTGCCTGCTTGCAAGGCAGGCACTTATGCCGCTGAGCTAAATCCCCAGCCCTAACACCAGTATCTTTTTAATGACATAAGTTATTTCACGGGAAGCTTGCATTATTATAATTACTGTTACTATTATCATTGTTATGATGATGATGATAATACTGATGTGTGGCGTTGGGGAAACGAACCCTGAACCTTGAGGATGCTAACCTAAGCACGCATTCTACCACTGAAAGACACTAGCTACAATATACCACCTTCTATAAAACAATTCTTGATACCAATATTCTCTGACAAGCTAGTCTTTCCGCAAAGAGAGACAGCGCTTTTAATTTGCAACTTGCTTGACTCCCTAAACGAAAATGCCGGTTTTCGCAGAGGAGCGGAACTCTACGTGCTCGCAAATTCAATACCCAGAGCCCGAGGCCCCTGACGACCGCAGTGAAAGGCGGGTTGGGTGGGCAGAAATCTCGCGGGAAAAACGCAACAACCAATTGTCGCGAGATTTTTTGTATCTTGCCTTCTTTTTCTCTTTCTCTCTCGCATGATCACGGTTAATCTCGCGATCTTTGGGAAGTTCCGTTGCGGAAGATGGCGGCGGCCGCGAGCACCTTTCTCTTTTTGCCGCCGGGGACTTCAGACTGAACCTTTCCGGGTAGAGTGGGGACTGCAGGTGCCCACGCGTCCCGGGAGCTCGAGCCAACCTGGTTTCCTTGCCAGGGTTGAGGAAAGGCTTGTCCTCTAGTGGTGGCCCCGGGCCCTCACCACTGTCAGGATGAAGGCTCAGGGCGAAACCGAGGGTGAGTGACTGAGGGGGGAAAAAGGAGGCGGGACACATTGGGGGAGCCAGTCTGGGAGAGGGGGTGGGGGCCGACGCCCCGCCAGTGCCACTTTCCAGAGGACACAGAGTCCAGGTGTTGATCTGTTTTAGATTGTCTTCCTGCCTTGCTAATGATAGAGCCTCGACTTTGGGTGATGATGGTGGATCCCGACTTCCTCGAAGGTTTCCTGTATAAGTAGGGACAATCAGTTGGGCTTTGGGACACTTTTGGCCCGAAGTGGTGGAAGCCTAGGCAAGCGAATCCAGAACCTGGTAATACTTCGTTCCAGAAGAGATGTCTGAATAAGGACGGAACCCAGTAACACAGAACGAAGTGTAAAGGTCCTGGACAATATTTCGACGTGAGTGGAATGAATAGGTTCTTAAGATTAGAAGCTGGCAGGTTTCCTAGAATGTCGTAGTGCTCGGATACTGAGCTACTGTGTTTCGAAGGTGGGCAGAATTTCATTCGTTCTGTAGCCGAACTGACTCAGGAATGTTGAAAAACAACTTTCGGAGGAACTTAACTATGATTCTCCAAATTTTCCACACTCCCATTTAAACAGTTCCTTAGCGTTTTGGGCACATTTCTGTTAACCCAGCTCACTTTATTGTTATTATTTACTCATGTTTTCTAGTTTACTCAGCGTTGTAGATCGGGAATCCTACCTTATATTTGTAGTCTCTGGCACAATAGTTGTAGGGGAAAAAAAGTTTAGTTTAAGCATCAGTGTAAAGATTTTTGTCAGCAGCAGGCTTAACAAAAAGAGGAAGGCGTGTGTTTTGACTAAGGGAAGGAAGAAAGGTATACTTGGGTTAAGAAAATGACAAGTAAAAAAAAAAACAAGTTCAGAATGGAAGTTTTGGTCTAATTTGTTCACTATTGAAACCCCGGGATTTATAATTGTGCTTTAATTAATAACTTTAAAAAGTGAGAAATGATGGAAATGTTTCCCAAACTACACACTGCTAAAATGGGCTCCAAAACAATTTTTAGGAAAATGAAACAGTTTGATTATTGTTTCGAGCCTCACTATTTTAACTATAACTGACTGACCTACTCATGTGTCAATACTGACATCAACTGCCGTTGTGTATTTTTCCTCCAGCTGATTTGAACTGTCCCTCCTTTAAGTATTCAGTAGCAGCTCTCTTATTTTATGTTATTCTGATTATTTCCACATTAACTTTTGCTCACCTCCTCATAGATGTCTCCTCAGCTATATGTGTTTATTCACTTCCAGTGATTTCTCTGCTCTCTGTGGCGGGGAAACACTTTTTTAGTTACGGGTTTCTTCTTTGTCCATATAATTTTAGGTAGAATTCATGTATGATCGGTGTGGAAGAGTACAGAAAAAAAAAAAAAAGAATTCATGTAGGAAAAGTACGAATGACAATTAGAGACTGCTTTTTTTTTTTTTTTTTTTTTTTTTTGTCTTTTTCCTTTTTTATCGGTACCGGGGATCGAACTCACGACTGCCTGCTTGCAAGGCAGGCACTTATGTCGCTGAGCTAAATCCCCAGCCCTGAGACTACTTTTTTGATCGTAAGCTCATCTTAAAATTTAAGTCAGTTTTTTTGTTTTTTTTTTTTTTTTTTTTTTTTTAAAGATTGAGTCTCCCTATATATTCAGGGCTGGCCTTGAATTCATGATCTTCCTGCCTTGGTCTCCTGTGTGCTAATTTTCAATTATGTGCTACCATGCCCAGTAGGAAGTCAGTATTTTCTGTTTTTGTTTTTGTTTTGGGTACCAGGGATTGAACTCATGAACTTGCACTTGCCAGGCAGGTGCTTATACCACTGAGCTAAATCCCTAGTCCCAAGAAGTCAGTATTTTCGCACTGAAAACTAATCATAGTGAGAGTATGTTCAAACATATGTTCAGAATATACCATTTGAGGAATTTTTTGTGCAGATCAACATGTTTAGAAATACTTTTTTTCTCATAAAAATTTTGAGAAGGCAATCCTGTTTTATGGTGTTCCTTCTAGCAGACTCATATATACATGTCTTCTTGCACTGAAAAATATCTTCTAAACCAGGTGCAGTATTTCACACTTGTGATCTCAGCTATTTGGAAGGGTGAGGCAGGAGGATTACTTGAGTTTAGAAATTGAATGCCAGCCAGGACAACAGAACAAGACCCTATCTCTTAAAAACTAACCCTTAAAAACAAAAATAAATAAAAAGTTTTTAAAAGTCTATGTGTTTTGACACATAAATGGTACAGAAAAGGTGGGGTATGGCGGTACACAACTATAATTCCAGCACCATGCAGGCTGAGGTAGCAGGATCTTGAGTTCAAGGCCATCTGGGCCACAGCCCACATTTGAGGCCAGCCTGAGCTGTCTCAAAAACACAATAAAATAAAGTGCACAAAAATGTTTTTGTAGTGTATGTATTTTACTAGTGGATATTAATTTTACAGAATATGGGTATCATTGCCATATTTTTATACATATATGTAATGTGTTGGTCCAAAAAATACTTTGAATTCTTGAGATGAAAGGTTTTGTTTTTAAGAAAAATTGTGAAAAATCTTAATGAGAGTTTCTAATGATGGCTGTTTCATGACTTATATTGTAGAGTCGGAAAAACTGAATAAGATGAGTTCCCTCTTGGAAAGGCTCCATGCAAAATTTAACCAAAATCGACCTTGGAGTGAAACCATTAAGCTTGTGCGGCAAGTCATGGTGAGGATTGTGGGGAAGTGGGTTAAGTGTTGTGCTTGGATAATTATCCAATAAGCTAAGGTCCCATAAGGAGTTGTTCAAAATAAACATACTAGTATATCTTCAGTTTCATTTATCATTAGACCCCTGAATGCTTGATAGCTATCAATTTCAGGGGTCTGCTGAGGAGGGTAGTTCTAGAACTCTGCGGTTGCAAAATTCCTCATGGATACCAAAATCCATGGATGCTAAAGTCTGTTATATTAAATGGTATTGTATTTAGTGTAACAGACACCCACCCACATATTTTGTTTTATTTGCCTTTTTTGAGACAGGTTTTTGCTGTGCAGTTCAGGTTGGTCTTGAGCTCCCTTTGTAGCCCAGGCTAGTCTTGAACTCACCAAGTACTAGGATTACAAGTGTGTGCCACCACACTTGGCTACCCATACATTTTAAATCATCTGTACACTACTTATAATACTGTAATGTGATTACTATGTAAATATCTGTTATATTGTTTAGAATGATAAAAGTGTCTATTCATGTTCAATACAGGGCATCTTTCTTTCTTTCTTTTTTTTTTTTTTTTTTTTTTTTTTTTTTTTTGGTCTTTTTCCTTTTTTATTGGTACTGGGGATCGAACTCATGACTGCCTGCTTGCAAGGCAGGTGCTTATGCCGCTGAGCTAAATCCCCCCCCCCCTTTTTTGTACTAGGAATTGAACTTATGACCTTGTGCTTGCCAGGCAGGTGCTGTGCCACTGAGCTATATCCCTGGCCCCTCTTCCTGAACTATTTTTTTTTTTTTTTTGGTACTAGGAATCGAACTCAGGACCTTGAGCTTTCCAAACAGGTGTTGTGCCATATTCCTACCCCTCTTTTGAATATTTTTGATTGGTGGTTAAGTTGTTTCCAACAGTGTAGAATCTGTAGATATGGAGATTCTGACTGTATTTATTTATAAAGCTCTATAAAATATACTCTTATTAGAGTATATTTTGTTTTGTTTTGTTTTTTGAAGACATTGGTATGCTGCAGGCAAAGGTGCTAAGAAATAGATTTATGAGAGCCGGGCATGGTGGCTCACTCCTGTAATCCCAGCACTCGGGAGGCTGAGGCAGGAGGATCATTGCAAGTTCAAGACCAGCCTCGGCTACAAAGTGAGCTCAAGGCGGGCCTGGGCTACATAGTGAGACCCTGTCTCAAAAAGGCAAAAAACAAACAAACAAACAAAAAAAAAAACCAAAATAGATTTATGGGCTGGGAATATAGGGTAACACAGTGGTAGAATACTTGCCTAGTATGCATGAGACCTTGGGTTCCTTCTATAAGGTTAAAACAAAAAGAACTGTGAAGGATGTGTTTGATAGACTGGAATAGAGAGAGTTCTCTTATCTCCTGCATTCTAATGTGATATCTTCATTATGTCTATGTAGTACTGATGGAACTTTTTATTCTTTTGTTTTTCTTCTTTGGTGCTATAATATTGAAGACTGAACCTGGCCTTTGCACTGAGCTGTATCTCTTGCCCTTTTGTATTTTGAGACAGTGTTTCACTGTGTTTCCCAGGCTGGGCTCAAAGTTAAAACCTTCCTGTTTCACCTCCGAGAGTCCTGGGGTTCAGGTGAACTCAGTATGAATTTGAATTGTGTAGCCCAGACTGGCTTCGTACTTGTGGTGATCCTCTTGCCTTAGCCTCCTAGGTGCTGGGATTACAGAACTCGACCACCATGCCTAATTGGATTCATTTGTTCTTTTTTTTTTTTTTTTTTTGTCTTGATTTTTTTTTTTTTTTTTTTTTTTTTGACACAAGATCTTGCTGTAGTTCAGGCTGGCCTCAAACTCTCAGGAATCTTGCCTTAGCCTCTGAGTGCTGGCATTACAGGCATGTGCTACCACACCAGATTGATTCATTCTTAATACTTCATGTTTTTACCTGGTTACTAATAACTTCCATCTTTTGTATTGTTTCTTACTGGATCAATACCAGTATGAGGATATTGCAGCTAGTTAAGTGGAAGGTAATGAGGCGGGTGTGGGGACCACTTTAAGAGCTGGATATTAAAAGTTCGTGTGATTCCAGTGATGGTCAAATGACAGGAAAGTTATTTATTTATTCATTTATTTTTGGTATCAGGAATCAAACTCAGGACCTCACTCTTGCCAGACAGGGACTGCACCACTGAGCTAAACCCCTAGCCCTCTTTTATTCCTTTATTTGCATTGCTAGGTCTCTATGTCAGGGCTTCCTGCATGCTAGGCAAGTACTCTCCCAGCCCAACTTTTTTTTATGTAGACAATGGTTACATGGCTATGTTTACTTCATGCTCAGTTATGTGTAACTTTTCTGTGTATATGGTTTTTGTTTTTGTTTTTTAATTTTTTGAGACAGGATCTCATGGTAGTTCAGACTGCCCTTGAATTTACTGTGTATGTAGCCCAGGACTCACTGTGATTCACCTGCCTCAGCCTCCTGAATGCAAGATTCCAGTATAGCACTATACTGCGCTTTCTGTATACATGTTATATTTAATGATGACATTCTGTCTTCTCTACCAAATTTCACTTTGGTTCTGGTCAGTCCAGCTTAGTAGATTTATTAATGCTTAAAATAATCAGAGGAATTGAATTTGCTGTTAACATATTGGTATTTCATCTCAGTGGTAGAGCATGGGCCAAACCTGTGTAAGGGCCTGCGTTTCATTTCCCAGCACTGCAGAAAAGCAAAACAAAACTCCCCTATTTTAGGTTTAACTCCAGTACTTATATCCGTGTTACTTTGGACAAATTAATAATTTCTCTGAATTTCAGTTTCCTGTCAGAAAAATGGAAATGTATAACGAGTTTGGTTTTCCTTGGTTTTATAAGAAACAAATGAGATAGTGAATATCAAAATGTCATATTGCTAAAAGATTTCTGTAACTGTGAATTCCTTAAGTATGTATGTATCTTCACACCTTGATCTGTCCATAAGGAAGATATTTTTTAAAAAATGTTGCCAGAGGGCTGGGGATTTAGCTCAGTGGCATAAGCGCCTGCCTTGCAAGCAGGCAGTCGTGAGTTCAATCCCCGGTACCGATAAAAACGAAAAAGACCAAAAAAAAAGAATTCAGACTTGTAAAAATGTTGCCAGAGTGATAGCTCTGTCCTATAATCCTAGCACTCAGGAGGCTGAGGCAGGAGGACTGCTGTAAATTTGAGACAGCCTCAGCTACATAGGTCAGAGGCAGCTTGAATTACGTAGTAAGACCCCATTTCAAAAAAAAAAGAGACACACCTGTAGTCCCAGCACTTGGGAGGCTGAAGCAGGAGGATCGTTGCAAGTTCAAGACCAGCCTGGGCTATAAAGTGAGTCCAAGGCCAGCCTGAACTGCATAGCTAGACCTTGTCTTAGAAAGAGAAAAAAATCATGCTAAGAGTAAAAGAAAAATGGCAAAAATTTTTTTTTTTTTTGGTCTTTTATCGATACCGGGGATCAAACTCATGACTGCCTGCTTGCAAAGCAGGCGCTTATGCCGCTGAGCTAAATCCCCAGCCCCCTAAAATGGCAATTTTTACAATTTGTAAATTTGGATATCATTTAATACTCCAAGGCAATGGTAGCTAGTTTGAAATATTCTCTACTAGGGTCCACCCTTTCTTGGGGAACCAGTATTTTGTTTTGGTCACCATGTCTTCTGTTGTGTACTTATCAGTTTTACAAATTTAGAAGTCTTAATTTTGGGCGTATAGATGTGGCTCAATGTGGAGTGCTTGCATAGCATGCACAAAGCCCTAGGTTCAATCCTAACTTTGAAAAAAGAAAAAAAGGAAAAAGAAAAACATTTTCTTGATAGGTGAGGACTTTATTTTTTAAAAAGTTTCTGTGTGCTAACCAAATCCCAACTGTAAATTAGAATGCCAATGTATTAATAACAAAGGGGCATATCTTTCTACTTTCTAAATCTAGTTTTCATTGCACAGAAAACCCATTTCTTTATTTAAAGTACAAGGGAATGCAGATTATTAATAAGTCAGATGTTCTGTATTTCTGGGTACTGGAATGAGTGGCAGAGAAAAACTCGTTTGGGTAGAGTCAGAAAAACGATGTAAAGATTTTGCTCTTTGGAAACCCTTTTTCCAAACTACATATTCTGTAAGAGTTTCACAAAGGTTGGATTACATTTCTCAGATTACCTGCAGGTCACCTTATTATATAGATATTCCTCATGTTCATGTTTAATTGTGATTCACATTTATGTCCAAGATAGGCTGTTCAGATTTACAATTTTTTTTTGTACAGTTGTATACATCTTGTTTATTAGAGCCTCAATGTCTTTTTCTGCAGTATACCTTGTTTATTATTTCTTCATTTCTTTTTTGCTTTTTGAGACAGAGTCTTGCTCTGTAATTCAGGCAGGTCTTCAACTTACTGTGTATGTATCCCAGGCTAGCCTGGATCTCATGTTAATCCTCCTGCCTCAGTTTTTCAAGTGTTGGGATTACAGCTGTGCACCACTACACTTGGTTACCTTGTTTATACAGTACTGTCATTTTTGCTGATCATACTGTACAGTCCAGTCTTATAGTTTTATGTTCCATTATATATTACAGTGGTGTATGTAAGAATTATGCAAGTAAAAGCAGAGTCATGAAGTTGGACTTCCCTTTGACTGTTTCTTTGTTGTGAATATTATAATGTACATGCTCTATACTATTCCTCATTTAGCGACCAATTTGTTACCCACCTAGCCACATGAACATAAGTCAGTGTTTAAACAAAGAGCGTCTATACTTGGGAATTCTGAGCCTCCTCCCTTAAATATCTAAATCTTGAGCAACTCTGTCAGGACCCCTCCTGTCCCTCAGGAGCTATTCTTTTGTTTGTTTTTGTCTTTTTCATTTTTATCGGTACCAGGGATCGAACTCACGACTGCCTGCTTGCAAGGCAGGTGCTTATGCCACTGAGCTAAATCCCCAGCCCCAGGAGCTATTCTTACTTCCCATTCATTTTCTCCAATAAGTTTTTCTACTCTTACAATAATAATAGAACTGGTAATAGAGCTCAGTGGCACAGCACAAAGATCCTGAGTTCAATTCCCTGTACCAGAAAAATAAAATAAATCTAAATTTTAAGATAGTGTCTTCTATTGGAAATAAGTGTTGTCTGTTACATTTGATTCTTTGCTTGATAATTTTTATTTTTGGGGACCGGGGATCGAACTGACGACCTGGTACTTACCAGGCAGGTGCTTGTGCCGCTGAGCTATATCTTGGCCCCTCTTTCCTTGATTTTTTGAGACAGGGTCTTGGTATGTTCTTTGGGCTGGCCTTAAATTTACTGTGTAGCCCGGCTTGGCTTTAGACCTGTGATCCTTCTACCTTAGCCTCCTGAGTGCTGGGATGACAGTTGTGTACTACCACACCTGTCTTCATTTGTTTTATTCTTCCTCATCTTTTTCCTGAAGCTCATGTTAGATTTAAGCGCATCTTTTTCTACCATCATAGACAAGAACGTGTCTTCCTTAGGATGGATGGATACACAAACAGATGAGTCTGTAGATGACATTGTGTATAGATACCCTAAAGTACTACTACTAGGACAGTGAATATGTGTATGTGAAGCATTGTTGGCCTCAGATTTTGATTTTTACTTCCAAAATTTTCTCTCTCGATACAGGAGAAGAGGGTTGTGATGAGTTCTGGAGGCCATCAACATTTGGTCAGCTGTTTGGAGACATTGCAGAAGGCTCTTAAAGGTTTGTAAATACCTCTGAAATCAGTTGACATCACCAAAGCCCCAGTTTAAGGAAGACTGTTTCACACTATAAATGTAAATTGAGGTAGGCCAATTTTCTATACTGTAGTAGTTCTTGCTCTCATTTATGAAGTAAAAATGAGCTCTTTTTTTTTTTTTTTTTTTTTTGGTACTGGAATCAAAATCATGACCTCATACTTGTTGGGCAGGCACTGTGCTGTTGAGCCATATCCCTGGCCTTTCTTGAAGCATTTATTTTTTGTGCTGTTTTAGAGGCTGATAGAATATAGCTGATGCAGAATAAGAGGAAATTCTTTTTCTTTTTTCACATTTAAAAAAACTCAATAAGATGGACATTTCACCTTTAAAATCTTTTTACAATGTGTATGGACAAAAGTTTCAGGCAAATCACCAGGCATGGTGGCACATGCTGTAATTCTAGCACTCAGGAGGCAGAGGCAGGATAACTGCAAGTTTGAGGTCAGCCTGACCTGTGTACTGAGACAGTCTCAAAAAAAATTGTGTTTTTCTTCTTCAGGAAAGCAAGCATACAGTAATTCATGAGTTAGGTTAATTATCTTTATAATGACTTAATTTTGATTTTTGGCGAAAATGAAAGTAAAAAGATCTTTTAGTAGTCTTGAGAATATAGTTCAGTTGTAGCATAATACACACAAGAGCCTAAGTTGGATTTCCAGCACCACATGAGCACACCCAAATTTACTTTGACCTACCACAAATGAACCTGATCAGCTGAGTTATTTCTTTTCTTTAATTGTGGTAAAGTATATATAATAACCTTTTTTTTTTTTTTTTTGTCTTTTTGAGACAGGGCCTCTCTATGCAGTTCAGGCTGGTCTTGAATTCACTTTGTAGCCCATGCTGTTCTCAAACTTCCAGTGATCCTCCTGCCTCGGCCTCCCAAGTACTGAGATGACAGGCATGCACCACCATACCTGGCTCTTTTCTTTTTTTGAGACAAGATCTTGCTTTCTGATTCAGGCTGGTCTTGAACTGTGGAGCCATAGCCATAGCCATAGCTCGCCTCAGATTCGTGTTGATCCTCCTGCTTCAGCTTCTCAAGTGCTGGGATGATACGCATGCTGGATTATGGGCATGTGCCATCATGCCTGGCTACATTCACATTTTTCTGTAACCATCACCATCATTAATTTCCAGAACTTTTTTCCAGAACTTTTTTCCAAAAGTGACACTTCAAAGCCTTTAAATAGTAGTGTCCTCGGCCAGATGTGGTGGTACACACCTGTAATCCCACCACTTGGGAGGCTGAGGCAGGAGGACTGCTGTGAGTATGAGGCCAGCCTGGGCTACAAAGTGAGTTTAGGTCCAGGCTGCACTGCATAGTGAGACACTGCCTCAAAAAGACCCCCACTAAAAAAAAAAAAAAATGTGTCTCACTTTCTCAACTCCATCCCCTGGCAGCCATCATCTACTTTCTGTTTTTTTGATCCTAACTACTTTGTATACCTCATATGAAGGAAATCAGTATTTGACTATGACTTGTTTATGTGGCATGTTGAAGCATATATCAGAATTTTTTTTTTAACCTCCTGTGATACTAGGGATGGAACCTAAGGCCTTGTATATGCTAGACAAGTGCTGTGCCACTGAGCTATACCTTCACCCATACACAGAATTTCTTTATAGGGTTTAGTAATATTTCACTATATATACCACATGTTGTTTATCTGATTCATCTGTTGATGGACACTTGGGATTGTTCCATCTTTTAACCATTGTAAAGTTAGGCTGTGAACATCAAAGGTTTTCGTTTTGTTGTTCTGTTTTTCTGTTCTGTTCTGTTCTGTTGTGGTGCTGGAGATTGAATTTAAGGTCTTAAGCATGCTAGGCAAACCTTACCAATAAACCTGATTATAAGCGTTTGAACTACTTAACATGCTTGTGGCTTTGTGAGATAGATATATTCCGTAGTACACTTCTGTCGTTGAAGAATACCATGTATTTGGAACATTCTTTGTGATTTCTTTTTTACAATTTTTTCGTAGTAACATCTTTACCAGCAATGACTGATCGTTTGGAGTCAATAGCAAGACAGAATGGGTATGTAGTTTCATCTGTAGGCAGAAGTATTTCACTTAGTGTTAACTTTGGGTGGCTTTATTTATGTGTCTTCTATTAATTTTTGTTTTGGTTTGTTCCTGCTAGACTGGGCTCTCATCTCAGTGCCAGTGGCACTGAATGTTACATCACGTCAGATATGTTCTATGTGGAAGTGCAGTTAGATCCTGCAGGACAGCTTTGTGATGTAAAAGTGGCTCACCATGGGGAGAATCCTGTGGTATGTGTTGTTGATATTTCACTGGAATCTGTGGGGTTTACCTAGGAGCATAATTTAAAAATGAATTGTTGGGGTTTACATAGCTTGGGTGTAGTTTTTTTCATGAGCCACTGTAGGGATGATGTGGTGGGCTACACTGTTGCCTTAGAATGTAACTCGGAGTATCTTGGTCCATCTCTGACACCAACAAGTAGAAACCCTTTTCATGTCAACCAAAATGAGCCGCAGTTGAACAATAGGTGCTAGGAATACAGAAATAGTATTACAGTTCCCATCCTCAAAGAGATTACAGTCAAGGATAACCCTGAGAAAAATCCTCAAGTAGGAATGAACGTAAAATGTATGTAGCCACTGAGTGCAATATAAATTCCAGGGATGGCAATAAAGAGAGTTGCTGATGTTCTAACGAGCTACTAAAAGTTCATTTGTTTTTAAGCTATTCCTATATTTTGAGTTTTAATTTCATACCCCACCCATGATTCTCCAAGTAGGAAGATGCTTTTTGTGTCTTAATATAAGGGCCTTCTGTAGCTTTAATGTTTTGGTTACAAAGCATGTATTATTAAAAGAGAAAAATTGTTAATGTCTTCAAAGGTATTTATGTAGTTTAATATTTTAACATAGTTTCTTTGATTTCAGAGCTGTCCAGAGCTTGTCCAGCAGTTAAGGTAAGCAGGTAACATTTATATTCTTTGATATTAATAGATAATCCTATTTTTTTGTTTTGTGTTATTTTTTTTTTTTTTTGAGATAGGGTCATGTTGTGTTGACCAGACTAGTCTTAACTGGGCTGAGAGGACCCTCTTGTCTCAGTTTCCTGAGTAGCTGGGGCTGTAGGCATGTGCTACTGCTGTTGTTTATATCTAGGGTTGCTTATTTGTTTGTGCTTTCTTTCATTTTGTGTTGAGACAGAGACTTGCCATATAGTTGAAGCAGTCCTTAAACTTACTACATAGCGCCAGCTGGCCCCAAACTGGCAATGATCCTCTTGTCTCAGCTCCTGTGTGCTGGAATTGTTTGTACATGTGTGCCACCATGCCTAGCAATATATTCCAGTTCAAGAATCTTCTGAAATTACTGTATATTCCTCAGAAACTAATTTATTTTCTTGAGCAAAATTTTTCATCCTGTACTTACTTTCTGAGCTGAGGTAGCATGAATTTTAACCCTACTTGATCTATCCCAGGATTTCTCAACTTCAGGACCACTGACAATTTGATTTGGAAAAATTTGCTCTAGGGCTGCCTGATGTATTGTATGCTGCTCACTAGCACACCCCGCTTCTCTTTTTTGGTTCCTAGTAGTGTTCCTTCAGCTGCGACACCCAGAAACCCTCCAGGGGTTAGGGATACAGCTCAATGGTAATGTTTCAGTAGCACACAGAGGGCCTTATAACATCTCCAGCACACCCACCCACCCAGGAAAAAAGATGTATGTGGGGCTGGGGTTATAGCTCAGCAGCATAAGTGCCTGCCTGGTCGTGAGGTTGTGAGTTGAATCCCCAGTACCAATAGAAAAATATGTATATATTTGTTTACTTTGGTATAAATAAATGAATAAAATATAAATGAAAATATCTCCACTGTCACATGTCATGGGGGACAAAAATCAAATTACTCCTGCTGAGAATTGATCTAGCCTCAGGAATTCTGGGACAAAAAACAATATGATCAATAAATAAATAAAAAAATAAGTAGAACCTCACTGTTGAAACAGAAGGCTTGAGAAAACTTTGAGTCGGGGGCTGGGGATTTAGCTCAGCGGCATAAGCACCTGCCTTGCAAGCAGGCAGTCATGAGTTTGATCCCTGGTACCGGTAAAAATACAACAAAACAAAACAACTTTGAGTCAGTCCCAAGAAAATAAATTTTTCTCTTCAGTTTTTAAGAACATTGTATTTAAAGTCCATGCATGAAAATCTGTCCCAGGAAAAGTAACAGACTTGAGTATAACCTTTTACTAATGGATGGCTTTTTCTACTGACTTGTCTTTTTCCCTTTAAAATGAGTGGAAATTTCTCTGCTACATTTAAACCAAACTTTAAGACTTTCTGGGAATTTAAGAAAATTGCATCAACTTCACTTTAAACAGAGTGAAATTCTCAGATGTTAGCCAGGATATCTTGTTAACACTGAAGAAGTCAGTCTTACTCTCAGCTTACTCAGTTATCGGTTTAGTGAGTGGCAGGCGGCAACTCAAATTTGAACCAGTTTTTTAAAGATTAGAATGCAATAGGAATAGGTAGCCTTTGATGGTTTCCCTGAATCAGTGAGGGTCCTGAGGCGTGCTGCCCGACGCTCCACAGGAGCCAGCGTACATAGTTCTCACCTGGAGCTGGCGGCATTGATGCTAGAACCCATGGTCTTCTCAAGTCCCTTTGTGAGTCTGCTGTCTGATGGGAGCCTCAGGGCACACCTTAGCCACCCTCTCCTGAGGCTTTCCCTCACCCAGTGTGGGTGGCAGCACTCTCCAGGAGGTGCACTCTGCAGCCGCTCTCCTTTCCTTGCTCTGTTGTTATGGCTGTGTGGACTTAATATTTGATAAACACTCATCCTACAACTGATGCAGCACCTGCCATTGTCTCGGCAGTTTACCTTTCTAAAGGCTTTTTCCCTTCAAGCCTGGAAAAAAGAATTGCTCCAGTGCGTTGGATTTGTAACCCTCCAAAGTTCATTGGGTGAAGAATCTAAGCCCTTGGTAATAGTTTCTTTTTCCTGGGGCCGACCTGGTCATAGGAGTATCTTGGATATTTGTTTACTCCTCTGTTACTATTGCCTCACTTTTAGGTTGCCATATACCTACAAATGTTCTAGCTTTCATATTTATGAATGTCTCATTTATAACTCTGCAATTAAATTTTTTTATTCAAACTTGATTGATTGATTATGGTACTGGGAATTCAGTCCAGAGCCTCTACATTGATTTATATCTCCAACACCTTTTAATTTTTAACTTTTTTTGTTTTTTTCAAACAGGGTCTTGCCATACAGTTCAGGCTGGTCTTGAATTCACAGGCTGGCCTGAAACCCACAGTAATCCTCTTGCCTCAGCCTCCCAAGTGCTGTGATTATAGGCATGCACCACCAAGCCCAGATTGTTTTTTTTTTTTGTGTGTGTGTGTGGTGCTGTGGATTGAACTCATGACCTTGTGCTTGCCAGGCAGGTGCTTATGCCACTGAGCTAAATCCAGGCCCCTATTTTATATTTTGAGATAGAGTCTTCCTCAGTTATCCAGGCTGGGTTCCCAATTGTGATCTTCCTGTTTTAGTTTCCTGAAATGCAGGGATTACAAGTGTGTGCTGCCACATCTGGCTGACTGGCTGGCTTGCTTTCTCTGTCTGCTGTCTTTCTCTCTCTCTCTCTCTGTCTCTCTCTCTGTCTCTCTCTCTCTCTCTCTCTGTTTCTTCTTTTTTTATGAGGACCACCTCACTATATAATGTAGTTCTTGAACTTTCAATCCTCTTGCCTTAGCCTCACAAATGCTGGGATTACAGGAATAGGCCTCCAAGTTTAAAATTTTTGTTTTCTGTTGTCTTGAAATCTGTGTTATGTATTACTAGGAAGGGAAAGTGATTGATGTAATCTGTTTCATTATTGAAGGGCTAACTAGTGTATGTATTTTCAGGTCTTTTATCTTGCTGCTTTCTTTTGACTTTTATCAAGTGTTCATTACCACCTCTAGAAAAATTAGCAGAAACGTTAATTCTTTTCTGTTACTAGTCTTGATTGACTCCAAAAATTTTGGGGGGAAAATTAGATTATCAAAATCAGTTTTATATATATCGATGATTTCTGGTAAATTTTTGTAAGATTGGGAAATAATTGTATGTTGTATTTTCTTCTCTTTTTTCCATCTTGAAATTTCTATAGGGAAAAAAATTTTGATGAATTTTCTAAGCACCTTAAGGGCCTTGTTAATCTGTATAACCTTCCTGGAGACAAGTAAGTATTTTATTTTTGTATGTATTTATATATTTGTTGTGTTTTGAAAAAAATTAGTATAAATCTATAAGCTATTTTGTGCTTAGAAATTTTCTGTATATCATTCCCTATTTATACTGCAATATTTAGATCAGCTTCTGTCTATTCATTTATTTATTTAGTCTTTTTGAGACGGGGTCTCATTGTGCAATGCAGGCTGCTCTTGAGCTCACTTTTTAGCCCAGGCTGGTCTCAGTTTGCAGCAGTCCTCCTGCCTCAGCCTCCTGAGTGCTGGAATTTATAGGTGTGCACCACTACACCCAGCTGTCTTTTTTTAGATTCACAGTATCTACATAGTGGCTTACAATGTCAGAATGAGAAGTATAATCCTTAAAATTTTCAAAATACTGAGTTTTAACATGAAATTAATTAGTTATTGTGGAACTGGTTTGCAATTTTTTTTGGGGGGGGGGTCTTTTTCCTTTTTATCGGTACCAGGGATCGAACTCACAACTGCCTACTTGCAAGGCAGGCACTTATGCCGCTGAGCTAAATCCCCAGCCCCCTGATTTGCAATTTTTATGTGCAGCCTCCATGAAATTCCACTAAACTGCTTTGCTTTTGTAAGCAGAAATAAAACTGAGCTTTAATAGTGCTAAAAACGAGCTTTGAAAGTGATAAATCTTTTTTGTTTTTGAGGCAGGGGCTAGCTATGCATTTCAGGCTAGCCTTGAGCACACTTTGTACCCCAGTGTGGTACACTGGTCTTATACCAGACTGGTCTTGCACTTGCAACGATCTCCTGCCACAGCCTTCTGAGTGCTGGGATTACATGTGTGTGCAACCACATCAAGCTCAAATCATTTTTTTTTTTTAAGTTTTTAAAGCTCATTTGTTTTCCTTTTGATGATGCTGTGGATTAGACCTAGGTCTTTACCCATCTTAGGCAAGCACTGTACCACTGAACCACATCCTCAGTGCTAAAGTGAGGCCTCCCTCTTGCCTTTATGGGACTATAGGTGTATGCCACCTGTAACCCACTCAATAAGTTGGGTTTTTTTGTTCTTTTGTTTTCCCTGTTTTTTTTTTGAGCTAGGGTCTCCTGTGTAGTTTAGGCTGGTTTTGAACTCATGGTAGCCCCAGATTGTGCTCAGACAGATAGGGATCCTCCTGCCTCAATCCTTTGAGTGCTGGGAGTGTACCACCATGCCCAGCATTTTAAAAAGAAATTTTCAGTGCCTCTACCGTAGACTCAGCTTTTGGGCTTTCTGTATCACTGTTTGTTTATGAGTATATATTTTCCAACTGCTTCACTCATTTTCTCCTTATCTGTTCTCCAGCAAACTGAAAACTAAAATGTACTTGGCTCTTCAGTCTCTAGAACAAGATCTATCAAAAATGGCAGTTATGTACTGGTAAGATTGGCTAAGACTTGGTTTTTTCTTTTATGGCCATACTGAAGATTGAATTTAAGACCTTGATAAGCTAAACAAGAATTCTAGTGTTGACCTGTATCTTAAACGCTTATTGTTTAATTTTGAGATAGAGTTTCACTGAGTTCCTTAGACTGGTCATGAATTCGTGATCCTGTTAACCTCAGCTTCCTGAGTGGGTGGATCATAGACATGTGCCACCATGCACTTCTTCAGAGCGTCAGTTCTATATAACTCCTGTATTTCCACCCAGAGGGATTATTAGATCCTAATTTATGCATCTATATTATGTATGTGTAATGTAGATAACCTATATATGATATGAATAATATACACAGTTTGCATTATATGTGTCTGTATAGCATTGGTTTATACAATACAATTATTCCTCGTTTAATGGCCTACCTGTTTATTGACTGTTAAGACTTATACTTGAGTCAGACTTACAATGCAGATATGTGAGTGACTGCAGCCTTATCGTGCCTTCTTCTATAGTATAGTGTGTACTTTGTGCTGATTGTACTGTATAGTACAGTCCTGGGGTGTGTGTGTGTGTGCACGTGTTTGTTTTGAGGCAGGGCTTCACTGTGCAGTTAAGGCTTGCCTTGAACTCACTTTGTAGCCCAGGCTGGCCTTGATCTCATGTCCAGATCCTCCTGTCCTAGCTTCTCTAGGCTGGAATTACAGGCATGGGACACCATTCCTAGCAGTCCAGTAGTTTTCTGTTATTAGACATTAACAGTACTGCATGTAAGAGATATAAAAATTAAACGAAACTCATCAAGTTGGAGCTTCTTTTGACCCTTTCTTTGTCTGACTATTGTAATGTGTGTACTATATGCAATTCCCCATTTAGTGACTAATTCATTTAACAACTAAAAAACAGGAACAAAACTTGGTCATTAGGCTACTTGTGGTGGTATATGCCTACAATCCCAACATTTGGGAGGGTGAAGCAGGAGGATTACTGTGAGTTTGAGGACAGCTTGGGCTACAAAGTGAGTTTAAGGCCAGTCAGAATTGTATCGTGAAACTCTTTATCAAAAAGGCAAAAAAACCCCAAATGAACAAGCAAACAAAAAAAACCTTATATATAAATAGATATGTAGGGCTGGAGATTTAGCTCAGCAGCATAAGTGCCTGCCTAGCAAGTGCAAGGTCATGAGTTCAATCCCTGGTACAGATAGATAGACAGATAGATAGATAGAGATTGCCTCTTTTATAGGTGTACATTACATTATAGATCTTTGTATTACACAGATGATAACATTTCTCAATATATAACTTGATATATACAGCTATACTATACCCAAAGTTTTAATTCATTTTCTATTCCCAAATGAGTATTCCTTTTTTTTTTTGGTATCTTTGAATTGAGCTCAGGATCTAGCACTTGCCAGGCAAGCACTTTGCCACTGAGCTATATCCCTGGCCCTTTCATTTTCTGAGTGTCAATATCACAAAGTCATTTTCAGATACAGGTTTTTTATCTGAAAACTTGTCAAGCTTGGAGTCCCATGTAATAAATAGTGATCTAGTTGTAATTTTTCCTTCACATGTTACACATTACTATGTACTTTGAAGTAATCACTTTATTATGAAGGTGAAGTACACTTGTTATATTTCTAACTACAGGACAGTTGTAATGATAGTACTAAGAGATACTAAGTGTTGGTCTGAGTATCATACTGTGCACTAAGTCTGTGTGCAAACATGGATCATTTGTCTTGCAGGAAAGCAACTAATGCTGGTCCTTTGGATAAGATTCTTCATGGAAGTGTTGGCTATCTCACTCCAAGGAGTGGTGGTATGTTACCCTACTTTGTTTTGTCTTTTGGAGAAAAGGTCTCGCTATCCAGTTTGGGCTGGCTTTGGGCTCAGTTTGTAGCCTAGGCTGGGCTTGAACTTGCAATGATCCTCCTGCCTCAGCCTCCTGAGTGCTGGGATACATGAGTGCACCACCACGCCTAGCTTGTTACCGTACTTTGAGTATTAGAAAAATGTCTTAATTTTTATAGAAGAGTTATTACTTTTCAAGTTCCTCTTGGGCTTTGAAAGATATAAACAAAGGAATTACGATGTGTTATGTATCCATACCAACTTCACCCTAGGAATGTAAACATTATATACTATAAACATGTACTAATAAAAATAAACATGTACTAATAAAAATAACAGACTGTACCCTGCAAAAATAAAAAATAATGTGATACAAGCAGAGAAACTTACCAGTCAGTTGTGCATTTTGTACTGATTTCTAAGATGTCAATGCCTACTTTTTCCTACATTTTATTTTCCAATCATGTAAATTGCCACTCCCAGAGTCCACACTAATTCTTTGTCACATTTTACAAGCTGCTTTGAAACATAGCTCCCTATATTTATGAAACTATTTTTTTCTATACAGATTTATAAAAATGTGAATGTATTTTTACTTATTATTGGTAAAGAAGCAATAATGAATTTTGTTTTTCATAGGTCATTTAATGAACTTGAAGTATTATGCTTCTCCTTCTGACCTTCTGGATGATAAGACTGCATCTCCTATCATTCTGCATGAGAATAATGGTAAGAAATGAACTGTGAAGCAACTCACAGTTTTGTTCAATTTTTAAAAAATATTTGTACATGGTGGCAAATGTCTGTAATCCCAGCATTTGGGAGGTTGAGGCAGGAGGATTGCCATGAGCTTCAGGTCACGCTGGGCTACATAGTGATTTCAAGGCCAGGCTGAACTGCATAGTGAGATCCTGTCCCTACCAAAATAAAAATAAGTAAAAACATTTTGAAGCCCCTGCCAGTTATTTCTGCTTTGCTACTCTTTTTATTTATTTTTTTGCTTTGCTATGCTTGAGTGAGTTTACTGCTCTTACCACATATACTTGATAGAATACACATACATATAGCCATATACATGCTGATACATGTATACATATGCATATACATATATATGTTTTTCTCTTTTTGAGATAAGGTTTATATATTTCAGGCTGGTCTTGAGAGCTCACTTTGTAGGCAGGCTGGCCTTGAACTCACAGCAGTCCGTCTGCCTCAGCTTCTTGAGTGCTGGGATTATGGATGTGTGCTACCATGTATGGCACATACATATATTTATACACATATAATAGCTTGTAAGTAAATGAATGAATAAATGTAAACCATTTGATGTGAAATAATTAGTTTTAATCATTACTTTAAAGGAAAGAAATTAATCCACTTTTTTGTGGGGGGAGTACCCAGTATCAAACTCACAGTTTCACACTTGTTAGACAGGTGCTGTGCTGTTGGGCCACATGCCTAGTCCTAACCCCCTTACTGAATTACATTATGGATGTTATTTTTTATTTGAACTTAATATACAACAAGATAAACAACTTAAAATATACCACAATTTAATATACCACAAGATAAACAACTTAAAATCTCATTTGGATTCTTGTAACATCAATCATTTATTCTGTTATTAATCCCCCTTAGGGGTTTACTGGGGATTAACCCAGGATTTTGCTCTGAGCTACATCCCTGGCCCTTTATAATTTTTTGAGGCAAGAGTGTCACTGAATTGCTCAGTTGAGCAAGCTGGGCTCAAACCTGTAGTCCTCCTGCTTCAGCCTCCCTGAGTTCTGGGTTTACAAGTATATGCCACCACTCCTGACTACTACCTATAATTATAATGCTATTTAAATGTTTTTTGAAATTGTATAGCAGAAGTAAATGTTTGTAATGAACCGTTCAATAATTTTCTTCCTGGAGCAGTATTGTTTTGTTTTATTTATGACCAAAAAGAAATATTGATTGGACAGGTGATTTTGAATACTTTTTAAGTTAGATAGGAATTAAAGTGTCTAATAAAGTATGGCTAATAAATAATGTAGAATGTGTTTTGTCTCCCTGAGACAAAATACTTTACACCCACAACTCTGAAAAGGAAATGTTTATTTCAGCTCACTATTTGTAGAGGTTTCAGTCCATAGTTGGCTGTTCCCAGTCAAGTGACATAGCAGAGGAGGCTTGCTCATAGCAGAACAGAGTGCAGGGAGGGGAGGGGTCCAGAGAGGAGGGAGCCAGAGAGAGCCTTCCAGGCCACGCCCCAGTGCCTCCTCCAGCCCACTTCATCTCCCAACCTTACAGTTAGCTGTAAATCAGCAGGGGATAATCCATGATTGAGTGTCACACTATCATGATCCAGTCACCTCCCAAAAGCCCCACTAGTGAGCAGAAGAGACTTGGACACCTAGATAGAAGCCATCACACAGAATTTGTCTTCTTTTTTTTTTTTTTTCCCAACTTCATGGTCTCCATAATTTTATTTACTTTGAAGACCCTTTTTCTTTCTATTCTCAGTTCCTCGATCTTTGGGCATGAATGCATCAGTGACAGTTGAAGGAACATCTGCTATGTATAAACTCCCAATTGCACCATTAATTATGGGGTCACATCCAGCTGACAACAAATGGTAAGTCAAACATTGTAGAATCGTAAAGTCCATTTTTTTTACTTCAAGATGAATGTGAAACTCAGTACTCCACTTGACCCTTCACCTTTTTAACTCTCTGGAGGTTGTTCGCTTTTTCTTTTGTCCATTCATTTGTCCTTGCTGAGAATCTGCTTGAAGTTACTTTACTGGTATCTGCTCACAGAACACATCCTCTACTTTAAATAAATGTGTTTTTTGTTGTTGTTTGTTCTGGTGCTAGTGATTAAACCTGGCCTTCTGCAGGCTAAGCATGTGTACCTCCCCAGGCTCAAAATAAATATGGAAATAAATACTTGAGCATTGAAAAAATAATTATTTGGAAATTCTTAGAAGGGAATTCTAAGAATGAACCTCTGATAGGCTGTGTGCATAGTTCTGTGTAATATATACATGTCTGCTTGATTTTTTCAGTCCAGTCAACATGTAGCCTTTTCTCTGTTCTGTGTTTTTTTGAAGGACTCCATCCTTCTCTGCAATTACCAGTGCCAACAGTGTTGATCTTCCTGCCTGTTTCTTCTTGAAATTTCCTCAGCCAATTCCAGTATCTAGAGCATTTGTTCAGAAGCTGCAGAACTGCACGGGTAAGTTTTGTTACCTGTTTTTTTTTTTTTTTTTTTTTTTTTTTTTTGTGGTACCAGGAATTGAACTCACAACCTCGCACTTACCAGGCAGGCTCTTATGCTGCTGAGCCAAATCCCTGGCCACCTGTTTTTTTTAAAGTGTTCACCGAACTTTAATATAGTAAAGTTTGAGCACCACACAGACAAACAAAAAAAGTTCAGAGCATCAGGAGTGAATATAAATGTGAACAGGAAATTTCAAATTATCCCAGTCTTGTGGGCAGCAAAAAGATATTCACAGGTATAGATGTTACAGTGTTTTATATTAGTATGTGCTTAGTAAGTACATTTTTAATGAATGGATGAATAAATGAGAACATTATGATGAGAAAATCAATTTTTCAATGTTTTAAATTTAATGGATAATTATATTAATTCTTCTTTTTCTAGGAATTCCATTGTTTGAAAGCCAACCAACTTATGTCCCCCTATATGAACTGATCACTCAGTTTGAGCTGTCAAAGGATCCTGATCCCATACCTTTGAATCACAACATGCGATTTTATGCTGTAAGTGAGGCCTTGTGGAGCTAGAATGTTGTAGGTTATATTTGGACCTAAGATTAAAATTTTTCTTTTTAGCATTACTTGGGCCAGATAAGTTTCTCTGGGATTATGTAATCATGTCATCTACCCTTAGTCAAGCAAAATGTTAAACTCTGAAATGAACTGATGCAAAAGGACACGAGCTTCCTAGTCAGGATAGTTGAAATTTTTCTTTTTCTTTTGCTGAATTTGTCCAAGAGCTAAAAGTTTAATGATGTTCTGAATGTTTGCAAGCTTATAAACAGATGTTAACAGTTCTCGGGGTGGGGCCATATTTCAGTGGTAGAAACTTGCCTAGCATGTACAAGGCCTTGGGTTGTATTCCCAGTTACACATGCACATAAATTCTTTTTTCTTTTTCTTTCTTTTTATAAAAATGAATTCTATTGTTTCTTTCAAGTACTTGTATTCTTTTGAATTTTTTTATGCAAAATTTTGTTAGAAGTACTGTGACTTTAATAATTGGAAAAGTTCTCAGGGTACATTCAGAACACAAGATGCTGGGATAAATTTACTGTGAAAGGCCTCCAAACCTCATCTAGTCTTGAATTTATTTGAATGTTTGATGATGTTCTAAACTAACATAGTAATTTATAGGTTCTGGCTACATTGCAGTATATAGGATGCTCTACTAACAATGCATTTGTGTGTATGGTTTAGGAGGCCCCCCCACCCTTTCTTTGGTACCAGTGATTGAACTCACAACCGTGTGCTTGCAAAGCAGGCAGGCACTTATGCCACTGAGCTAAATCCCCTGCCCCTCCTTCCCTTTTAAACCACCATACTGGGTATTGAACCCAGGCTTCATAGTGCTTAGTCCTTTTTAAATTTTATTTTGAGACAGGGTATCACTGTGTTTCCTAGGCTGACTCTAAACTTTAGATCTTCCTGCTTTAGTCTCATTAGCAGCTAAGATTGTAAGTATATGCCACCACACCAAACTGAGGAACCTCTTTAATACAAATTCCTGCAGTAATTTTTATGTTAGCTAAGCAAGGAGTCCACCAGCATAGAGCATTTACTATAAAGATCTTTTCAGCCAAGTGAATAACGTGTTTATGATATCACTAGGTGGATACTGTGCAGTTTTATTACGTCCCATAAATTTTGGGGCTTTTTTAAGTCGAGTGGTGTAGCAATGGGTAGTTTGTGGGTGCATCGCAGTGGCTAATTCAGTGGCATTCTCATTTTGTCTTTTTGCTTAGGCTCTTCCAGGTCAGCAGCACTGCTACTTCCTCAACAAGGATGCTCCCCTTCCTGATGGCCGCAGTCTCCAGGGAATACTTGTCAGCAAAATCACCTTTCAACACCCTGGCCGAGTTCCTCTCATTCTAAATATGATCAGACACCAAGTGGCCTATAACACCTTAATTGGAAGCTGTGTCAAAAGAACTATTTTGAAAGAAGGTACTTTCTTTTAATACATTCATTTGAAGAGAAAAACTAATCCAGTAGTTCTTTAATTTGGTGGCTTTTAAAAACTGCAGATGCTGGGATCCACACTCATCAAAAAAAAAAAAAAAAAAAAAAAAAAACCAAACCTGCAGATGCTTGATTTGTACATGAAGAACTGATTTAGAAATTGAACAGGAGCCATATGGCGAAACATGCCTGTAATCCCAGCAGTTGAGGAGACTGAGGTAGAAGGATCACAAGTCTGAGCCTAGCCTACTTGAATTAACTTGAAAATCAAAAATAAAAATGGAGTAGATGAGATACAGATTATAACAAAGGCCTTACGCTTAATCTCCAGTACTGCCAGGAAAGAAAAAAACGAATTTCCAGGAGAAGAGTCAGGAAATTTAATGTAATCCGCTTAAATTATTTTGATGAAGCAACCTGTTCCAGTGGGTATTTGGGAACCATTGTTCTTTGCAGTGGACTTAATTCTTTTTTTAAAAATAATACATAATTGAGATTTAAGGCTGTATCTTGCACCAGGTATACATAAGGTAGGACTTACAATAAGAGGTGGTTTCTTTCTTTTTTGAAAGATGATTTCTTGCTACTAAATCTCAGATTATTAGGACAGTGATTTTTAGCTCTAGTCTCACTGTTACATTTTCTCTCTTTGATTGTGGGGAAGTTAATTGTATGGCTTTAAAAAAGTGAGATTTAAGCCCCCTTTCTGTCAGGATTCTGGAAAACTAATGTTTTTCTTTTGTTTTTGTTTTGAGGCAAGGTATTGCCATCTAGTTCAGGGTGGCCTTGAGCTCACTAGCTTTAAACTTGAGGTGATCCTCCTGCCTCAGTCTCCTCAACTGCTGAGATTGTAGGCATGTGCTGCCAGCTAATGTTTTTCAAACAGAGTTGGCTTACATTAGTAGTTTTAATGTAAATTGGGGCTTGTTTACTAGTTACTATTAGTATTTTTGCCTTAACGTTCCAGTAATCGATACACATTAGTGTAAATGGTAAGAAAAAGTAAACCAGGAAAGGATATAATTCTTTCTTGATAATACCAATCAATTTCAAAAGGAGGGATTTTCCAGAATTGGATTAGCAATGGCATACGCAAGCAAATTTTCTTTTATTTTGTGTTACCTATGAGATGTATCCAGATGACTTTGTGGTATTTCTTGATTGATTGATTGATTGATTGATTGTGGTTCTTTAAGACAGAGTCTTGCTGTGCAGTTCAGGCTGGCCTTCAATTCAAGGCCAGCCTGTCTAACCCAAGCTGAACTCAAGGTGACCCTCTTGCGTCAGCCTCCTGAATGCTGGGATTACAGGTGTTGCTACAATAATTGGCTTTCGGGATTTTTAAAAATGAGTTTTCATTGGATTGTTACAGAGCTAATCTTACAGAACTTTTTGATTTTCCTGAAGAAAATACGTTCAGTTTAAGGTCTGGGGTTAGGGGTATAGTTGAGTACTGGAGTGCTTATCTGTCATGCACAAGACCCTGGGTTCAATCGCTAATATCCCAAAAACCAATGCTAAAATAAATACAAAAAACTAGAGGGAAATGAGGGTTTGTATCTGTAATCATAGTACTGTGAGAGGCTGTGGGAGGAGGCTCACAAGTTCAGTCTGGGCAACACAGCAACTTCCTGAGGCTTTATTTCCAATAAAAATTTTCAAAGTGCTTGAGATGCAGCTCAGGGTGAGGCCTCTTGGGTTAGGTCTGTAAAGCCACCCAGGAAGACAGACAAAAGAAAGAATCATTTGTCTTCTTAGAAAACTAGAAACATAGTTACTTTTTTATTTTGGGGAAGTTTGTAATAAGTGGATTCTGTCATCTCTGGCTGGCTGAGCAAGGCTTTTTGGGTGACAGGAGGTGGAGTTAGTTTCTAAGAAGGGAGAAAAATAATTTCATTTTGTATATTTCAGGATTATTATTTGTTTGTCTCCTGTCTGGTTGATTGTGTTATGGTTTTATTTGCCTTTTAGATTCTCCTGGGCTTCTCCAGTTCGAAGTGTGTCCTCTCTCAGAGTCCCGTTTCAGTGTATCTTTTCAGCACCCTGTGAATGACTCCCTGGTGTGTGGTGAGTTGTGTGGGTGGCCCACACCTTGCTCAGGGTAGCTGGGTACTCCCTGTATCTGTTTCAGAGTCCGTCTCAAATGGCTTCTCTGTATTTCGTCTTTCAGTGGTTATGGATGTGCAAGACTCGACACATGTGAGCTGTAAACTCTACAAGGGTGTGTCAGATGCGCTCATCTGCACAGATGACTTCATTGCCAAAGTCGTTCAAAGGTAGCACTGACTGTTTTCCATCAGCGTCCCACTAAGTGCTGTATGAAATATATTGTTTTCAGTATTAGAGTGAATTGGAAATAAAGGAGAAACGCACTTAGTCATTGCTTGAATTGATTTTTTTTCTGCTTTTGGATTCAAAAGTGATCCGAACCTTGGTTTTTCCCAAACCACTATGAAGTATTAAGTCAGGTAGGTAACATCAGACCTGGCATTAGAGTAATGGAAGGTGGGAGAGCTTAATTAGATGCAGACTTTCTGCACATGTCTCTTTTACTGCTTTTGAACAAATATGCTGGATTGTGGGCCAGATGTAGAAAGATACTTAGGCTAGTTAGCTTCCTGGAAACATTAATATGTAATATTGAGTTTTTTTTTAAAGCAGTGGCTGGTAAGCATTTTTTTTCCTAGCTGGGCAGCCTATTATGGGACTAAATATTATAGGGACACTGCCTATTTTACATGTCTATTGCAGCATTCAATCTAAGCCCACAAAGCCAGGAATATTATTATGTGGCTCAATAAGAAAAACTTGGATATTTTCCCAATATACATTCAAATTTATTGTGAAGATAAAAAGTGTCTATCCTGGTCTGGCATGGTGACACACACCTGTAATCCTGGGAACTTGGGAGACAGAGGCAGGTGGATAGCTTTCAAGTTCCAGGCCAGCCTCAGATACATAGTGAGTTCAAGGCCAGCCTGAACTATGTAGTGAACTCTTGTCTCTGAAACAAACAAACAAAAACATTCCTTTCCTGAGCTGGACTTGGTAGCAAGCACCTGTAATTGCAACACTCCAGAGACTGAGACAGAAAGATTGCTGTAGGTTTGAGTTCAGCCTTGGTTACAAAGTGAGGTCAAAGTGGCCTGAGCTACATAGTGAGACTATCTCAAAAAAAAGTGCCTTCCCTCAAAATAAACGTTAGTCCTAAGGGCAGTAGGACTTTTCACATGGTTATCTTTGGGATGATCTAAGCTATTAAGGTTTAGAACTTAAAAAGTCAAGAGATATTTGAGTGTTTCATTAGTAAAATCATATATGTATCTCATTAATTAGCATAAAGATATATTAGCAAGAGATATATTGCACTGAATTTCATTATTACCAGTTTTCTTTTACTTCAAAATGAAATCTCATTCTCTGGCCCATATTTGTGGCTGGCTTCCTGGTGTGTGTTTCATAAAAAGTGAACAGGTGCCTCCTGGTCAGCTACTTTTTGGGGTGGGTACACCCAGTGCTTTGGCATTTGCTGCAGCTACTCTTACCTCACAGATTACTCCCTGACCTGAAGACTGCTTACTGCAAACTTGTGATGGCTCATCTAAATCGAGCTAAAACCAGAGCCTGTTTTCCCAAATGAAAAGCTGGTTTCATTTAGCACTAACATGGTATTAACTGTGACTTTTTCATTTTATGTTACAGGTGTATGTCCATCCCTGTGACGATGAGAGCTATTCGGAGGAAGGCTGAAACCATTCAGGCTGACACCCCAGCACTCTCCCTCATTGCAGAAACAGTTGAAGACATGGTGAAAAAGAACCTGCCCCCGGCTAGCAGCCCAGGGTATGGCATGACCACAGGCAACAACCCAATGAGTGGTACCACTACACCAACCAACACCTTTCCGGGGGGTCCCATTACCACCTTGTTTAATATGAGCATGAGCATCAAAGATCGGCATGAGTCGGTGGGCCATGGGGAGGACTTCAGCAAGGTATCTCAGAACCCAATTCTTACCAGTTTGTTGCAAATCACAGGGAACGGGGGGTCTACCATTGGCTCGAGTCCGACCCCTCCTCATCACACGCCGCCACCTGTCTCTTCGATGGCCGGCAACACCAAGAATCACCCGATGCTCATGAACCTTCTTAAAGATAATCCTGCCCAGGATTTCTCAACCCTTTATGGAAGCAGCCCTTTAGAAAGGCAGAACTCCTCTTCTGGCTCACCCCGGATGGATATGTGCTCGGGGAGCAACAAAACCAAGAAGAAGAAGTCATCAAGATTACCACCTGACAAACCAAAGCACCAGACTGAAGATGACTTTCAGAGGGAGCTATTTTCAATGGATGTTGACTCACAGAACCCTATCTTTGATGTTAATATGACAGCTGACACGCTGGATACACCACACATCACTCCAGCTCCAAGCCAGTGTAGCACTCCCCCAACGACTTATCCACAACCAGTACCTCATCCCCAACCCAGTATTCAAAGGATGGTCCGGCTGTCCAGTTCAGACAGCATTGGCCCAGATGTAACTGATATACTTTCCGATATTGCAGAAGAAGCCTCTAAGCTTCCTAGCACTAGCGATGATTGCCCTCCCATCGGTACCCCTGTACGAGATTCTTCAAGTTCTGGGCATTCTCAGAGTGCCCTGTTTGACTCTGATGTCTTTCAAACTAATAATAATGAAAACCCATACACGGACCCAGCTGACCTTATTGCAGATGCTGCCGGAAGCCCCAGCAGTGACTCCCCTTCCAATCACTTTTTTCCTGATGGAGTAGATTTCAATCCTGATTTATTGAATAGCCAGAGCCAAAGTGGTTTTGGAGAAGAATATTTTGATGAAAGCAGCCAAAGTGGGGACAATGATGATTTCAAAGGATTTGCTTCTCAGGCACTAACTTTGGGGGTGCCAATGCTTGGAGGTGATAATGGGGAGACCAAATTTAAAGGCAATACCCAAGTTGACACTGTTGATTTCAGTATTATATCAGTTGCTGGGAAGGCTTTGGGAGCTGCAGAGCTCATTGAGCATCACAGTGGTAGCCAGAGTCCTTTATTAACTACTGGAGACTTAGGGAAAGAAAAGACTCCAAAGAGGGTGAAGGAAGGCAACGGCACCAGCAGTAGCAGTCTGTCAGGCCCAGGGTCAGACAGCAAGCCAGGAAAGCGCAGCCGGACCCCTTCTAATGACGGGAAGAGCAAGGATAGGCCTCCCAAGCGGAAGAAGGGGGACACTGAGGGCAGGTCCCCATCTCACAGTTCTAACCGGCCCTTTACGCCACCTACCAGTACAGGCGGGTCCAGATCTCCAGGCAGTGCAGGAAGGTCTCAGACACCTCCAGGTGTCACCACACCGCCCATTCCCAAAATCACTATTCAGATTCCTAAGGGGACTGTGATGGTGGGCAAGCCCTCCTCGCACAGTCAGTATACCAGCAGTGGTTCTGTGTCCTCCTCAGGCAGTAAAAGCCACCATAGCCATTCTTCCTCCTCATCTTCCTCATCTTCCGCTTCCACCTCAGGCAAGATGAAAAGCAGTAAATCAGAAGGCTCCTCCAGCTCCAAGCTAACAAGCAGTGTCTATTCCAGCCAGGGATCTTCTGGATCAAGTCAGTCCAAAAATTCATCCCAGTCTGGAGGGAAGCCAGGCTCCTCCCCCATTACTAAGCACGGACTGAGCAGTGGCTCTGGCAGCACCAAGATGAAACCTCAGGGGAAGCCATCATCACTTATGAATCCTTTAAGTAAACCGAACATCTCCCCGTCTCATTCAAGGCCTCCTGGAGCCTCTGATAAGCTGGCCTCTCCAATGAAGCCTGTTCCTGGGACTCCTCCCACCTCAAAAGCCAAGTCCCCTATCAGTTCAGGTTCTGGTGGTTCTCACATGTCTGGAACCAGTTCAGGCTCTGGCATGAAGTCATCTTCAGGGTTAGGATCCTCAGGCTCATTGTCCCAGAAAACTCCCCCATCGTCTAATTCTTGCACAGCATCATCTTCGTTTCCCTCAAGTGGCTCTTCAATGTCATCTTCTCAAAACCAGCATGGGAGTTCTAAAGGGAAATCTCCCAGCAGAAATAAGAAGCCGTCCTTGACAGCTGTCATAGATAAACTGAAGCATGGGGTTGTCACAGGCGGTCCTGGGGGGGAAGATGCGATGGATGGTCAGATGGGAGTGAGTGCAAATTCTGCTAGCCATCTCATGTCCTCCAAACATAACATGTCAGGAGGAGAGTTCCAGGGCAAGCGTGAGAAGAGTGAGAAAGACAAATCAAAGGTTTCTACTTCTGGGGGCTCTGGGGATTCTTCTAAGAAGACCTCAGAGTCAAAAAATGTGGGGAGCACAGGTGTGGCAAAAATTATCATCAGCAAGCATGATGGGGGCTCCCCCAGCATTAAAGCCAAAGTGACTTTGCAGAAACCTGGGGAAAGCAGTGGGGAAGGGCTCAGGCCACAGATGGCCTCCTCCAAAAACTACGGTTCTCCGCTGATCAGTGGTTCCACTCCAAAGCATGAACGTGGCTCTCCCAGCCACAGTAAGTCACCAGCCTATACCCCCCAGAACCTGGACAGTGAAAGTGAGTCAGGTTCTTCTATAGCAGAGAAGTCTTACCAGAACAGTCCCAGTTCAGATGACGGCATCCGACCACTTCCAGAGTACAGCACAGAAAAACATAAGAAGCACAAAAAGGAAAAGAAGAAAGTCAAAGACAGAGACAGAGACCGGGACAAAGATAGAGACAAAAAAAAGTCTCACAGCATCAAGCCAGAGAGTTGGTCCAAATCGCCCATCTCTTCAGACCAGTCTTTGTCTATGACAAGTAACACAATCCTATCTGCAGATCGGCCCTCAAGGCTCAGCCCTGACTTTATGATTGGGGAGGAAGATGATGATCTTATGGATGTGGCCTTGATTGGCAATTAGGAACCTTGTTTTCTAAAGATATATGGCCAGAGAAGAAACTGTTGATAAATTTATATGTAAACCAACACAAGGCACGAGTCAGTCAGGTCTGATTTATGTTTTAAGAATCCAAAAGGCGTGGCTTTAACAAGCTGGTTGAATTCAGAAACATGTATCCAGACCCTACTGAAGAGACCACAGGGTTAGATTCTGGCTATCAAAAATTCTTTACTCCTTTGTCAGAAAGAAAATGTTTAAAAAAATCCTTAAGAATGGGGGGAGGGATGGGAAAGGGAAAGAGAGGGAAGGGTGGGAAAACAGTTTTGTGGGAAATATTCATATATATTTTTCCTCCCTTTTTCCACTTTCAGGCCATGTTTTAAACTCATTTTAGTGCATGCATTTGAAGGGCTGGGCAGCAAATGAAAAAGCAATACGTTCCTTGATGCATTTGCATGAAGGTTGTTCACCTCTGTTTGGGTAATTGTCCATTTGAGGCATGGGCAAAAGAAGGACTTGGGTCATTTTGGACACTTCAGCAATGTTTGGTGTTTATTTCTTAGGAGTGACTGGGGGAAGGAAGATTTTTAGCTATTTATTTGTAATATTTTAACCCGTATGTTTGTTTTTATTTGTTTCTTTCTAAATCTATGAGGTTTAGGGTTCAAAACAGTGGGAGGTGGAAAAGCAAGGCTTATTTGTTGGTAGGGCACTTGCAGCTTGTGCTGATATGTAGTAGCATCCAGCCCAAGCAGGTTAGAGCCCGCCTTTGGAGTCAAATGGAAAAACCAAACTGATATTTTAGCAAGTTTTTCATAGGTTTCAGACATAGGAATATTAGTAATTATTTCCCTGTGGAGGTATCGATTTATACTGTTGTTTTTCTTTTTAAAAAGCTAGGGTGGCTACCTGGGATGTAAGCATGTTTTTAGATGCAGTAAGATGTGACAGGGGGATAGCCTTCCTGACCCAGTGGCATGAGAACCATTACAGAATTGACAGTTCTCCTGTTTCCACAATGTGCCAAAAGTCCACATCCCAGCATTTAGTTTGCAGGAGAACTGATGCCATTCCTAAAAGCTGAGCTCTTTGTTTCTCTTCTACAAAGGAGGAGGAGTTCAGACTTTTATCACTCCACTGTATGCTCCCTGGGATAAAATAGTAAAAAAATCAGCAGCCATAGTTCACTTAAAACACTTTCAAGCTCACTTGAAGTAATGGGGGCCTGGAAGGCTAGGTGAGCTTGAAGATAAACCCTTGCTACTATGTAGCAACACAATTGGACCTTTTTGGAGAAACAGGTCTGATTCTGGATTCTGCAAGACATCAAGGATAAGCCTTTCTTACAAACATTGAAGTCCAGGAGACCATTTTGAGTGCAACGGAAGTTCTCAGTATTTGGAGGGTCCTCTCAAAATTCTGCGGCCTTATTTTGATTTTGACACCTGCACTGTGCCATTCCTGATGATTCTATTCAGGATCTTATCAGCAGAGCGGGACAGAGTCCCCAGCACAACTCTTCTGGATTCAAAACAAAACAAAACAAAAAACACCACTAGGTGATTGGTGTGTGTGTGTGTGTCATAAGTGGAGTGACTTCATTAGATACGGAAAAGAGTTCTATATTCACCTTTCTGCAGGTTGGAGTTAGTATAGGGTTGGAATATCCTCCTTGGCTTCCTTTCCTGCCTCTCATGTCCTGCAGTGTTCTTCCTTTTCTGGTCATCAGCTCTTAACAACTCCGCCACTTTTGTGTCTCGAGGTATTAAGAAGTAGGAAGCGCAGCATTACAAAGTGGAGCAAAAACAGTTATCAGTTACCATATCAGAGTCAAATGTCTTGGGTGACACTGAGGAAGACATGGGCAAGGTGACACCGGAGTGCTTTATCTTATGGTGCTGATATAGTAGCAGCCTCTCAGACATACAAACAGGTTGGATTTCTTACAAGTTTGTCAACTAGTTCTGAGTCCTATCCCATTGGTTTCTGCAAGAAATTTTAAAAGTTACGTGGTTTTAAAGTTTGTTCTTGGTGGGAAAACATGTGGGGGAATGTACTGCATAGTATCAGGGGCTCAGCTCCCCCAAGCAGAGCCAACAAATACCAAAATAAGTAAACTGGGAAGCTTTTTCTCTCTTTCTGTCTTCATCCCAGATCAGAGAATCCCAAGTTAGGATCTGGATGAAGGATAAGCCTGAATTGTCGATGGGCACACCCCACACTCTGACCCAGCATCTGAACTTGCTTAACAGGGAGCCGGGGCTAAACTGCTTCACCCTGCCTGAGAACCAGGGAGCACTGCATTTCTTCACAGGGTGGAGGAAAAGAGGCAGAATAACCAAGCCTGGGACACCTCCCTCCTGTCTCATTGTATTCATTCTACCGTTTCAAAAAACGGCAAAGACGTGAGGTCAACTTCTGCCTACCTTCTGCTGCTGGTGTCTTAGTTTGACCTGATTCCTCTTATCTTTTGGCTTCATGTTAGGGGTTCTTGATCAAAATCTGCTCTGATGTACATGAAGATTTCAGATTCGAATTCAGAGTATCTTAAAACAAGTATTGTCATGGGGGTGGGGGGTGCTGAAAGATACAATTGCCAAAGCCAGGCTTGAGGTTGGTGACTCTTCAGAAGGATTTTCCTTTCTCAGGCCTAGATGTGAAAAATCTAGTGCAGCAATATCATGAATTTTCATGAGAAACCCTTCCAGGGAGCCTGTGAGTCATGCAGTATCCAAGTGAGTCACAGAAAGCAGATGTCAGTATAGAAAACATTGCTCACAATCCATGGGCAGTCTCACTTCATTTCCATCCCTGACTCCTGCCCATTTACTTCCATCCTTGTGTTTTTTGAGGGGCAGAAGTACTTAATAATCTCAGAGGCTAGGTTGGGAAACATGCTCATCTACAAGATCTGAGTTCTAAATTTTGAGTTTCAAAGTGCACATCAGGAGCAGTGGAGTGGGTCTTTCTAAAAAAAGTCTCAAATTTGATTTTCTGTGTGTATGGCCGTTCTGTAAATACTTTGGGATTTTTCATTTTTTTTTTTTGAACGTGGACAAAACCCGTGGGGTTTTTCCCCAAAAAACATTATAAAAACTTTATTTACATGCAAATAAACTTCTTTGATAAAAAGTAATATGACTATGTGTAATAAAATTTTGACCTCAATTTTCATTTGTTCAGCTTTTCAGAAAACTACTAAAAAAATCGGTCATAAAATCTGTCTAAATACCACTATTAAAAGCATCCACTGGAATGTCAAGTTGATAGACAAGAACTATGAAAAAGTTTTGTTTTTGTTATATTTGACTTATCTTTGTGTAACACATTTTATGCTTTTTGCAGTTGTTAAATTTACCTGTTCTTGGGAGAAAAGAGATGTCACTAGACTGAGCCTGTTTTTTTCCACTGAAGTGAAATAAAAACACTAAAGGTATCTGGGAGATAAAACACTAAACACTTTGGGATAAAACACTCTGGGAGAGGAGAGTGTCATATTTAGACCTGGGTTTGTGAGCCTGAGAATGTTTTCCAAAGCTAGTTCCTTGCTTTGGAAGGCCTCTCTAGGATACATTATTAAGTACTTCCAGCATTAGGTAATGAAGACAGCAAACGAGTCAAAAATCTAATAGGAACATGCACAAGTTCCCAAGACGAATGTATCTAAAGTATCGGAAGTGTAACACTAGTAAGAATTTTAATCAAGTATTAACAGTGTGTTCGAGCCCCAGCACCAAAGAGTTGTGTAATAAGCCACCGAAAATATGCCCAGTCTTACAGGTCTGCAGCATTTCTTGCTCTTCAGTGTTTTTAATTGGATTAATAACAGGCAGGCGCTAATTAAAAGGGTGTGAAGGGAAACTCCTCACAGCTTTGGGAGTGTACAGTTAGCAGCACTGCTGTTTGTGTCAAGAATGCTGCAATTTATGATACAATTTCTCCCATTTCATGTTTGGGGTATTGCCTTTGGCCAATTTCACTCTTGATTCTTGATTCGTGTAACACCGTTTGGAAACTCTGGACCTGAGGAGCTAAACTTGTTAAAACAGGGCTCTCATTGGGTTCCACAATCAAAATCCCGGTTTCCTCAGGCCAACGCCCCCATCTATGGCTCTCACGCTTGTTTCTCCCGCCAAGATAACGTCAGGCTCCGGCTCTCACCAACCAGCTAGCTGATTGGAGAGTGGACAAAAGCTACCGCCCATTGGTCACCGTAGGCCCCGGGGGCGGGGCAGCCGAAGGCCGCGCTGCCCAGTCTGCCGACGCGCGCCCCTCCCCCGCCGGCGGGAGGGTGCCCAGCTCTGGCTCCCTCTCCCGCTCCCGCTCCCGCTCCGGCTCTGGCTCCGACGCGGCACCTCTGACCTGGCGCCCAAGGTGTGGCCCTCCTGCCTCCCCCGGTGCAGAGGCGGGCGCTCGGACCGCCCTCCGCGCACTGGATCATACACAGGGAGACGCTTGCCCCGCGGCGGCCCTCCAGGCCTTCCTGCAGTGTCCTTAATGCAATCCACTAGTGCGGCGGCGACATCAGCGGCAGCGCTGTCCCCATCCCGAGACGTCCAGAAAGAGGAGGAAAATGGCTCCGAGCAGGGATCGCCTGCTGCACTTCGGCTTTAAGGCGACCGTGAGTGACCGGGGCAGAGGTTGGGTTGTCAGGAGGGTGCGAGTCCCAGCTAGGGGTGCAGAGAGCGAAGGACAGGCCCGGGGGCCGGCGGGGGCGGCTCCGCGTGGGCTGGTTCGCGACTGGGCCGCGGGGAGGAGAGGCTCCGGCCGCGCTCCTGCCTGTCTCTCGCGTCCTGAGCACGCAAACTTGCCCCGCCCCACAGCCATCGACTCGGCGCTTCCCTGCGCGCCTTCTCCCGGGGACAGCGGCTTTGGTGCGGGAGGGAGCGGGCCGCAATAGCGGCTCTGCTCCGACAGCTCGCGGGCTCCGTAAGGGCTGCTCTTGGGGGAGGGGCGGCCCCGCTGCCGCGCGCCCCCCGCCCTCCCGCGCGTCGAGGCTCAGGCGGCTCCGTCCAATCAGGAGCGGCGTTGCTGGCAGGTGGGGAGTGTTTTTGTTTTGGGTTGAAGTTGAGGCTGAGGCGAGAGCCCAGCTAGCGACGAGCGGTCGTCGCGGCCGCAGGCGCTGCAGGAGGTGGTAGAGGAGGTCCTGCCAGAGCCTAGAGGTCGCTCCTCCCCGCGCGACTGCCCCGGCCTGGTTCCTGCTCCGCCGCGGCCGCCGCCTCCGGATTCCGGAACTCGCGGGCCTGCTCTGGGCCGCTCCGCTTTGCACTCCGCACGCCGCAGCGCCCTGCCTGGGCCGCACCCGCCGGCCTCATGAGGAGGGACGTGAACGGAGTGACCAAGAGCAGGTTTGAGGTGTGAGCCTGAGGGGGCCGCGGCTTGGTTGTCCACACGTCCCCGGGCGTTCATCCCCTGGCCACCGGCGGGATTAGCGCGGGCGTCCTCGTCCCCTCCCCCGACCGCCCGGCTCGCCATTCTCCATGTAGCCCCTCGACCGCCGCCACCGCCGGAGCATCTCGCGTGTCCGGCGGGGGTTGGGGGTGCGGGCCATTTTCCGAGTTGGAGATCCAGTTTCACCAGGGAAGTGAAGGTGGGAGCGACCGCCGTCCTCGTTGTGTTGGATTTGGGTATTGTTCTGGTACTTCCTCTTCTTTCCCGTTTACTCTCTGCTTTTGCAGTTCATTGTTTCTAGGAACCCACAGAAGTCTGCATGCTTTGAGGTTGGGATGAAGGTCTGAGAGGCTTGAGAAACTCCCTCTGGTCGGTCTGTCTCTTAGAAATATCCCCTCCCCTCCCCGCGCGCCGGCAGTTTACATACCTAGAATTGAGAAAGGCACCGCCTGGCAGAGAGAGTGGTCTTAAGTGGGGAAGGGACTCGCTTAGGAAGAGAAATATTGTTAACTGCCGATGGGGTAGAGTATCATACTATAATAATGAACCGGATGATTCATTGAGGGGATAAGAAAGAAATTCACCCAAGCCGAAGAGTAAATGTTACCTGGCCTTTTCTGGCGGAGAATCAGGCTGACCTGGGACCACTCGCGGCTCAGTGTACATCTCGAGGGCTTTTGCTGATTTCCATCTGAAAGATGAAATTGTAAGCCGATGAGACAAAAGTTTCAGGAAACTCACCAGCTGGGAGCAGGGGGTGGAAATCCCTAAGGATCTTCAGTTTACCCTTTTTATGCTTACAAGGAAAATACTCATCGAAATCAGAGTGAGACATGCTTGGAGGAAGTTTAGTTTCGGAGCTGCAGTATTTTGTTGAGGATGAAGAGTGTAGATAGTCAAGATATTAGTGGCCTTCAGATTTTCATATAGCATAGTTCAATTGTGAAAAATACTGTAGTTCATGGCACGTGGTGTTACTTAAACAAGAGGTTCTGTTGCCCTACTGTAGACAGCTCAATAGGATTAATTTATGGTGCTTTCATATTCATTACTGTTGTAAAAGTCCAAAATGTCGCAAAAATTACTGAATAGACATTTGACAGAAGAGGAATTATAAGAGAGGCCCAAACACTGAAGACTGAGGAGAGATAGCATCTGGCTGCTGCAAGTAGCTCATTATCATTTTGCTGTTTTACCTTAGATTGTTGAGTAAGTGTTGGACAGACTTCTCTGTCAGTATGTGCTTTATGTCATCACTGTTCCCATTTTTATAATTTTTTGGTATGTATGTAGTGTGTGTATGTTTGTGTGGTAAGCAGGGTCCTGCTATGTAGTTCAGCTTGGATTTGAACTCACTGTGTAGCCCAGGCTGATCTTGAACTCATGGCAGTTCCGCTGCCTCAGCCTCCAGAGTGCTAAGATTGGCTTGTTTTTTATTTATACTTTATCTGTAGTAGTGGCACGTTAAAATAAGAAAATTTATTGATTTGTTAAGCATATCTGTATCATGATTGGCAACTGGCAACAAATGCCTCCTTAATATGAGCTGAGACAATAAAAAAGCATGAAGGATCATCTTTGTATACTGTTCATGATCAAAATGATTATAAACCAAAAGCTGTTCTTTTATTTTTTTTTAAAATCTTTGTTTTTATTTATTTGTCTTTTTCCTTTTTTTTTTTCATTTTTATCGGTACCAGGGATGGAACTCACGACCGTACACTTGCAAGGCAGGCGCTTATGCCGCTGAGCTAAATCTCCCAGTCCCTAGTCTTTTTCCTTTTTATTGGTACCGGGGATCGAACTCACGACTGCTTGCTTGCAAGGCAGGCGCTTATGCCGCTGAGCTAAATCCCCAGCCCTAAAAGCTGTTCTTTTAGTATAATGTGTTCCATGTCACAATAGAAATGAAAATGGTTGGGCTAGAAACGACTTATGTTAATGAGAATCATCTGAAATTTTTGTTTTGTTTCAAGACAGAGTTGCACTATTTAGTCAAGGCTGGCCTTGAACTTGCTGTGTAGCTTAGACTGTCCTCAAACTTTGGATTCTTGTCCTTTGCTATGCCTCCCCAGTGCCATGATTGTGTACCCCCAGCCCAGTCATCCAGTATTCTTAAAACTATTCATCTTTTTATGATCTAGTGTAAGGCAACTGCTTAGTATATAGGCTTTTTAGGAGATAATACACTTATGTTAGTTCATTGAAAATTTTTAAAGATGTAGGCTTTTTATGTCTAAAACGTGATTTTTAAATTCTTAATGCTATAATGAAAAGAGGTGATAATTATATGAATGTAAGCAGATAGTTGATCTCCAAATGGTAATTTTTGTAAGTACAGGAATTATTTATATAACAAATGATAGCTAATTTCAAATTGTGGTTGAGACTAATGCAAAAAGTGAAAGGCTTTTTCTTGGGGGAAGATAACTAAAATTTACGAGTGTGATATGAGAGTTGATTTAGTCTAATCTTTTTGTAAGGAATATTTTGTTTAATATGCTTTTAGGCGTTGTAACTAAAAGCCACATACTTTAAATCTCACCGTCAGGTGTGGAGCTGTAGAAAATATTTTAGTTGGGCTGGGGATTTAGCTCAGCGGCATAAGCGCCTGCCTTGCAAGCAGACCGTCGTGAGTTCAGTCCCCAGTACCGATAAAAAGGAAAAAGACAAAAAAAAAAAAAAAAAAAAATATTTTAGTTAAAACCAAGATAGAATGCTGGGTGTGGTGGCCCACAGGGCCTA